AGACAAGCCATAATGGTTATGCTGAGAAGCAAATGAATCGGTCTGTAGTGAGTTCCTTTCTGGGCCAACAGTTCTTTTGAGTCCCAATTTTGTTAAATAGTTCCTTATGTGTACATGTCAGCCATGATATTTCAGATCTGGTTGGTGGACAAATGGTGGTGATGCAGATCCGACCGTCTCTGGTTTCTGACCCACCCTATTTAAAACGGCATTTGGGCCTCTATCACATTTGCCTTAATGCTGCCCTCCCTGACTCCCGGTAGCATGTATCTCCTTCTGATGCACTACAGACTTACTGTGCTGGTCAGGGCCTGCCACGTGCCATCAGCCATCAGGGAGCTTTGCCCATGTAGCTTACCGATGTCTATCCCAAGCCAGCCAGTGCTGCCCAGGGACGGCTGGCTAAGTAATTGGCTCAGGTGTCCCTTACCTGGAGGCTTAAGAACAGACTCTGGAGCCAGGCAGTTGTGGGCTTGAAGCACAGCTTTTGCCACTTAGATAGCCATGTGACCTTTGCAGCCTATTTGTTTCGGATCCTTATTTTCTCTGGCGGTAACACAGACTCATAGCATTTCCTTCCTAGGATGGATGTGAGGATTAGTGGAGAGACAGATGGAAAGTTCTTAGCATATGGTAGGCGTTCCATGAATGGTAGCTCCTTTCCCCGGGGAAGGTTGCTTTTTCTCTTCTTGCTTCTCGTTGTTCTCTGACGGTTGACCCTTTTTTGACCAGTTTGCTGTTCAGCAGTAGTTCCTTAAGAGGACAAGCCGCTGAAGGAGGGGCTGGCATTATCTGTGGAATTAACCGGCCCCTGCTCCCTCGCCCTCCCTCTTCCTCCTTTCACGAGGTGCCTGTTGCCAAGGAGACGTAGCATCAACCCTGACAGAGTGTGGCTGGGGTCTGGCCCACACAGAAGGAGAGGGACAATGGCTGACCCTGGGGAGGTTTGCCTCCTGGGCTGACTGTGTGTGTGTGTGTGTGTGTGTGTGTGGTGGGGGTGGTGGTTGGGGGCATCGTTCTGGAATCTGCTGGAAAAACCCAGCTGGCTCCCTGAGGAAATAAAGTTCCTTCACCTGTCTCCATGCGGCTCTGGGGGGCTGCAGGCCAGTGGTGCTGGGAGGGTGTGATGCCCAGACCCTGGGAGGGGGCCATAGCAGCCAGAGTGACACACAATCAAACTCCTGGCTCTCAGAATGGCACCTCCCAGAGCAGGCTGGCCACTGAGGAGACAGATGCTCGAAGAGGCCCTGCGGGGATCCATAATTCTGTGTCCTCAAAGGCTGGCCCAGTGAGAGAACACAACATGGGCGCTGCCATCTCTTCTTGCAGCTTGAACGAGACCAGGGGGAGATTGTCTCAGACCCCAGGTCCTCCAGGGGCTTCCTTCCTTCCTTCCTTCCTTCCTTCCTTCCTTCCTTCCTTCCTTCCTTCCTTCCTTCCTTCCTTCCTTCCCTCCCTCCCTCCCTCCCTCCCTCCCTCCCTCCCTCCCTCCCTCCCTCCCTCCCTCCCTCCCTCCCTCCTTCCTTCTTTCCTTCCTTCCTTCTCAACCCATCCCTTGACCCTGGGCAGCCTGAGAGATGTGGCTTTTGCCTAACCAGTTAGCCACCCACACGGAGAAGGAAGAAGCAGAGTCTGAGCACAGGCTGAGGCGGGACTGCCGCTGTCTGTCCCAGCTGTGTGACTCCGGAAGAACCACTCCACGTCTCTGCAAAACCCGGACGATCAGAGCACTGCCTCTTGGGGTGGTTGTGAGGACGAAGCCAGTGGGTTCTTGTAATGAGTTTAGAACCACTACAGACACTCCGAGCTCACTAACTGTAAGCTATTGTCGTCATTTTACAGGGTACATTCCTGGGAAGAGGAGTATTCTTGGGCAGAATGAAAATGGAATTACTTTTATTATTTGGTTTTTCTTGGAAAGAAAAAAAAAAGGGACCTTCTGGCAATGCTGGCCCCCCTTCCGGCTCTTTGAGGGTGAGTCCTGGCTGCCCCCTTCAGAGAGGCTCAGCTCCAGCATCAGCATGGGCCCTCCCAGGCCCATTCCATTTCTCGTCAGCCCCAAGGCATTCCATGTCTGTTACAGACTCAAATCCAGCGTAAGCCAATCAAGATGGCAGGAGTGCAGCTGGGGGTAAAGACTGAGTTGTCTGTGTTTAGAAGGGGAAGGCAAGAGTTTGCCACCCCCCACCCCCACCCCCCGCCCCAGGGCCTCAGAGCGAGGAGCGGTAGAAGAAAGAGGGGGTGGGAAGCCTGAGCCTGATGGCGTGGGTGCTGTCCTGCATCCACCCTTCTGTGTCTGGTTCACCACCAGAACAGCCCATGTCCTGGACTGGGGCACTGGGCGCCTGGCCCACTGGGGAAGCCTGTTATTTCAGAGCAGATAATGTTGAGTTGGTTCACCACCCATTTGTCCTCTGTATCCTTTAGCCTCATGTTTTTTCCAACACAAACATCTTAGGGTCAGGGGACTTGGCCATGCATTGGAGGGACCTTGTCATATTCCTTGTTGTGTGTGTGTGTGTGTGTGACTGATGATTCACACGGGAGCTTCTCAATGAATGCTTGTGAAATAAAAATATGAACAAATGCAGAGAGCTTGCTTTCTGATATACTGGTATCAACCCCTAAACTTAGCTAGAGCTTTTATTTATTTAATTTTATTATTTATTTACTTTTAATATATTTTATTGATTTTTTTATAGAGAGAAAGGGGAAGAGATAGAGAGTTAGAAACATCAATGAGAGAGAAACATCGATTAGCTGCCTCCTGCACACGCCCTACTGGGGATGTGCCCACAACCAAGGCACATGCCCTTGACCGGAATCAAACCTGGGACCCTTCAGTCCACAGGCTGATGCTCTATCCACTAAGCCAAACTAGTTAGGGCTAGATAGAGCTTTTAGAAGCCCCTATGAGTCCCATTTCTATCCCATGCACTGGGCTATGGTTGGAGGAAGGCAGGGTGGGGATGACAGCTTACCACCATATGCCAGAGCCTAGCTCACATAGTAGGTGTTCAACAAACATTTGATGAGTAAGTGAGTGAATGAATGGATCTAATGAAGAGCCTTCAGGATACTGTAGTTGTGCTCTTAAAAGCTGGAGGGATTTTGAACTCCTCTTCGTAATTCCTCTGGCCTCCCTGACCAAGTAGGATAAAACAGCACACACACGCCCTCTCGTAAGAAACTCTGGGTGTGGGGATCAGTGGTTACTGCCAATAAGCCATCCTCGGAAGTCTGCTGTCACCCTGAATCTCGGACGTCCTTGGCAGGCTGCCTCCCCAGCTGTCCTGTCTCTTTTCTTGGTGTTGTGTGCGCGGCCGGTCAATGGACTCTATTGTCTTGTCATTTACCATTGCGTTTGGAGCCATCACCTCTGTGTGTTTTGGGCTTTACTTATCTTCTATCTTAGATCCATTTGTTTGTTTCTTAAAAGGCAGCATCTTCCGGGATATCTAGGGAATAGTCTGAGCAGTGACAGGGCTGTCTGATACCTGCCCTGACAAGACGGCGAACGCGCTCCGACCCTGGCTCGGAGACCAGCCCGCCGTGACCTTGGGCAGGGCACTTGGGCTCTGGGCTCTTTGAGATCTTTCATTCTCTGTCCACTCACAGGAGGGGGCTTCCGGGAAGTGGAGTGATTTTTAAGTGGACGTACGCTTTTTTGTGTGAAATGGTAGCTATTTTTATTGGAAAACTTTTCATTTAAGCTCCTGTGCTGAGTGTAAAAACAGCACTAGCTACAAGGCATTCGTATTTTGTGATTTATTTGGAGTACTAATATTATATCAGAAAATGGTAGTTTTTTGGTTAAATATATTTTAAAAAGGCTTCTGCATTATTAGGTATGATTTTATTGTATCTTGGGGTGATGCTTTTTCCCCCCATGAAGAATAGATCTGTGATTTATGATGAACTTTCACACCGCGGCTGGCCATGAGATTACTCTGTGGCTTTACGTCCTTCCCAAAGCTGCAGGAGCTTCTAGTTTCCAAGCATGCTGCAGGGGAGACCAGGTTGCAAGGTTCTTTCGAGACGAGCCATGCCTATGTCCAGCCACACACTGGGGTGTCTTAGGGGAAAAAAGGCCCCTCAGGGTTACACCAGCCCAGTTCTTCTTTGGATGAGGAAAACCGAGGCTCTGAGTGGAGAACTGGCTTTCCCCAGTTGAAAGGCCTTGAGGCCTCCCTCTGTGTCTAGACCTCGATTATCCCATGTGCCTTACCTGGTGCAAACCCCATCGCCCAAATGCGATCATTGATGCATGTACCCAACCCACTGTTCGTGCTCAGGGACACGGTCCCTTCCCAAGCACCACAGGATGGAAGGGCTGCTGCTAACTGGGCACTCCAATCAGCATCTACTTTGCCCTGGACACCTTTCTTTCCCCCACCAGCTAGGCAGAGAGTTTATGGGCATCATTTCTCCAGAAAAAGGCTGGAAGACTTAGTAAATTCAAACTTTAACCTTTTTATCAAGAATCCCAAAGGGATACCCCTTTCTCCTCCCATTGCCACCGCCAACCCCCACCAGGCTTTCTCTACTGTAGGAAGTGAGGGCACACAGTGCAGAACAGCACAGGCCAAACCAGCAGGCACATGAAGCATTGTCGAATCAACTGAGCGACAACCACCTGAGAGCCATCTTTGTTAAGGGCAAAATGAGCCACTCATGACACAGGAGGATACAGGAAAGACAGGGCTATCTGGATTCTTCTGGAATGAGGAAAACTGGATTGGGGCCGAGGGGGGACTTTTCCTTTCCTGTTTTCTCAGAAAACATGCAAAGAAAGGCTTCACACGCAACTAAGGTTACACACACATCAATATTTCCAGACTTCCCTTTTCAAAGATGGCCGCCCATGCTGTCCATTCAGAGGGAGCTTGTAGCAGAATCTCTGGGCATGGAGAGAGACAGGTGGCAGGAGAAATTTACTTTTCCACAAAGGTTGTTGGTTTTTTTTTCTTTTTTTTTTTTTTCTCCTTTATTGTTGGGATTTAAAATGCATATAACTGAAGGCAAAGTCCAAGGCCTAGAGAAAGATATGAGGCTCGAGAGAGAGGCTCTGAGATTCTAAAGGCGGCAGAAGGATACCCACCTAAAAAGGCCACTTGAGCTGCAAAAGGGATGGAGCAGAGACAGAAAATGGGAAAAAGAGAAAAGGAGTGGGGGTGGGGTCGGGGAGGGGGAAAGTGTTTGGGAGGAAGAAGACAAATAAGTACCAGTTCAGAAATTCAGACAAAGATATGGAGTAGGAGCTAATTTATACCCCAGGTAAGAATAGATGGGCTGACCTCTGGGTAAGAGCATTTGTTTTAGAAAACGTGAGCAGGGAGAAATAAGAAAAGGCCGGAGAACACAGCACCCTAGGGGCCCTTTGGTTGGTGGCAGTAGTGGTTGAACTACTCTAAGCCTCTGTCATGTCTTTCTAGAGACTCAACAGGGGTCTAAGGAGACTCCATCTGGCCAGGAGAAAACAGGGACTGGGGACCTTGATCTGGGGCCTCCCCAGAGCTCCCCAGCTGACGGCAAAGTCTTTTTGCTACTGAGCTGCGGCCAGGGCCGACTCACCCACACAGGCTGTGCCGTCTTCGTTGGGCTCGTAACCCCGACTGCACTTCTTGTTGGTCCGACATCTGTAGCTTCCATATGTGTTGACACACACGGGCTTGTCTCGAGGGCACACGAATGGGAACTGGATGCATTCGTTGGTGTCTGAAAGGGAAGGGAATCATTCACTCGGGAGGGCATAGGCCCTTGCTCAGGCTCTGCTGTTCCACCCACTCTGGGACTGGGACATGTCCCTCATCTCTGGGCCTCAGCTTCCTCACGTCAGTCTCCTTGGCTGACTCCTACTGTGCTTGACCTCTCCATGGTAGGGGTGCCCAGGCTCAGTCCTGGGTCTTCTATCCACCATCCTTTACTGAGGTGGTCCCTTCAGACATGAAGGATTCCAGACTTCCCATCTCCAGCCACAACCTCTCCCTGGGGCTCCTGACGCGTGAATCTGTCTAACACGCATCTTAACTTAGTAGGTTCCAGATGGAATTTAGATTCCCTCCAGTCCTCAGACCTCTCCTGCCCCCTTTACCCATCTCCCCTAACTCAATCAATAGTCAAACAGAAACCAGTGATACCCAATTCTTTCTTTTTCCTTATCAATGTAACAACAGATCCCATTAGTTCTGCTCCTATGGTATCCCCCTTGTCTGTCCACCTGCTTCTCATTCTCATTCTCCTGCACCAGCCATTCCCAGCCAGCACCATCTCTTGCCTGGATTTCTGCAGCTGCCTCTCTCCAATCCCATCTGCAGTTCAGCAGCCAACGTGATCGTGTGAACATGTGACCCCATCACGCTACTCTCCTGCTCCACTGTGCAGACACCGTTCCGGGGCTCCCAGACTCTCCCGGACTTGGATCTGGCTCCTCTGTCCTCTCTGGGCGCATCGGCCTCCTTCCTGCTCCTCTGACATTCCAGGCCTTTTTCCTGCCTCGTGGCCTTCCCTTCCCTCGGGTATTTCCATGGCCAGACCCTTCTCATCCTTTAGGTCTCAGCTCAAAAGTTCCCTCCTCTGGGACCCTTCCTGACCACTCTGTCTAGAACAGTCTCCAGAGAGCACCTTGCTTAACGGGGTCTTAACTCATCTAGTCCAGCTGTAGGGTCATGTGTAGTGCGGTAGTCTGTCCCTGTGCGTCCCCCCTGCCCCCCATTAGGATGAGCACCCGCCAGGGGAGGTGCTTGGCCTGCATTCCCAGCTCCCCACATGGGCCTGGCGTGTGGGAGGCACATGTATGTCCACTGGAAAAGGAAAAGGAAAAGGAAAAGGAAAAGGAAAAGGAAAAGGAAAAGGAAAAGGAAGAGGCGGCTGGATTGGGGATCTCAGCCTGTGTGGGTGAGTCGGCCCTGGCCGCATGTCCCGGGCACAAGGAAGATGCTGGAATTTCTGTGTGTGTGCACCGTCTGTTTGCAGTGGCTACAGTGGGGACATGGCCAGTGGAGGGGACTCATTTTCTCCTCAAGCCTCTCAGAGCCATCCTCCTCCACCTTCTCATCTGTGGTACTTTGTCTACACATGCCCTCCACGGGAACACTTTCTCCCCTCTCTTGGCCTGGCAAACTCATCACCCCTCAGGTCTCAGCTTAGACCTCCATCTCTCCGGGGTGTCTTCTTGAACCCTCCTTAGACTGGTTTGGGCCCCTCCTCTTTGCTACCGCACAGCCCCTTCCCTCCCCCACCCCAGCCTCTCACACTGGCTGTTAGTGCCTCTCCCATGAGCTCTAAACCCTGGCTAGGGACTATCTGTCTTGTTTACTCTTGTATCTCAGTTGCAAGCACATCTGCCTGGGGCGGAGAGACTTCTGCAGAGCGAACTAGGGGAAGAATGCTTCTTGAGGGCTGAAAGGCTGAGGCATCCTTGATCTGACCCCTCATTGTCAGCTGGTGGGATGGGAGACAGTTTGTGAGCCTTCTGGATGCTGAGCCTCTAGGCTGCCCGCCTCCCACGCCAGTCCTTGTGACCTGGTGACTCTTCCCAGAGCTGCCTTCCTGGCAGTGCCACGGCTCCCTGTCCCCCCCTCCCCCCTTTACCCCCCATACTGCTCAAGACTGCCACCTCCTTGTACTGAGACCATACCCCACACCCTGGTTTGCTCCAGTGCCCTTGCAGTTCCATCGGCTGGCCAGGCTGAACATGCCAGCTCTCCACGGGGCCCTGTGCCCACCCAGCCTCCACAGGCCTGGCAGTCAGGCCTCCCTGTGAACACTGTCCAGGCCCTGGTGCGTCTCATGGCCATTCTCTCTGTATTCACGGCACGGAAGCTCTGCCAGTTCCCAGAACCGTGGTGATTCAGTCTGCCGGGCGCTCATGTCACTCCCACCTGAGAGTGAGTCACATGGCGGTTGTCTTGGCATCTGGAGCCCCAGGGACAAACAACAGGCTCCCCTCCCCACTTTCTGCCCCTTGTTTGCAACCTGAGCCCTGCCAGCACGCAGGCAGGCCGAATGTCCCCAGGGAGATCCTGGCCTCTGCTCCATCCCCCGGTGCCTGCAGGCAACTCACCCATGCAATGGCCGTTTTCCTGCTGGGAGAATCCTTGGCCGCACTGCAAAGTGGGCAGAAGCAGAGACACGAGTGAGCTGAGAAGATGGCATCTCAGGCGCTATCACAGCCACAAAGCAGCTGTCACCCCAGAATGAGGGATGCTCGTAGCTCTGGGCCTGGAGGGCGCCCCTCCCTGCCAGGACTCCTTCCCTTGCACTGAGAATAGGACACTGGGGGGTTGGGGAGGCCAAGAACAGACTTAGTCCAAACTCCTGCTCACTCCCCTCACGTGGGACCCACATGTCTGAGCAGGATGGGTAACAGGAACTGAGCCCGAGGCTGGGTGTCAGCTGGGGCAAAGGGTGATGAGGGGTGGGAGGAGCTTTCTGCGGTATCTGCTCACTCCCCACACTCTCTTCTCTGAGAACCTTCCCCATTCCCAGGCTCTCCCCATCCACCACCCATCTCTCTGGGCAAGGCCAGCTGGACCAGGGATGGGCATCCAGCAGGAGGATGAGTCAAAGACGTGGTGGCCAGAATTTGAACCGAGGCTGAGAAGGATTTGGAAACCTGGTGGCTCCAGGCTGTGGGGGCTTTGCCATGTCTATATGGGGGTTTCGGGGACAGCAGGCTGGTGGCAGGCCAGGGAGACTCCAAACAACACTTTACACAAGACAGAAAATGTCAGCTGTCAGTACAGAGCAATGAGGGTGGGGCAGAGGGATTATTAGAGAAGGGCAATGACCTCCTCACCCCCAGGCCAGTGCACAAATGACAAAGGTCCTTGAGGTCCTGGGGCTGAGGCCACTGAGCTGCGTGGTCCCTGCGCATCCTTAGCTTCCCATGGGATGCTGTGAGCTCCCCTACACGTTTCCTTAGAGGTCCCCCCTTCGGTGTGAATTTAGGGGGGCTTCTGTTATTGCAACCAAGTGACCCGATCAGAGTTAGAACCTTGAGCTCTTTCTCCAAGAGCTCCCGGTGGCCTGACCCTCCCTCAGCACTAACACAAGGCCTGCCAGAGATTTGGAAAGAGCTGGGAGGGAAGCAGGAGACCTGGGGTCAATTCTAACTCTGCTCCCAACTGGCTGCACAGCCTGGTGGGGTCTCCCCCTTGGTCTCGGGTTTCCTCTCTGTAGAACGGGTGCAAAAATACCTGTCCTGCCAATACCACGGATTCCCGTGAGGAGCAGCAGAGACGTGCATGTGGTACCATTGTGCAAACCACAGACGGTGGGGTCACCATGAAGCCTGCCCGTTGCTGGGATTCCCGTCACTCCAGAGGCAAAGCCTGCCGATTCCCGGGACCCCGCTTCAGGCCATGGGCTTGGGGATGCGGCCTCTCTTCTGGCCCTCAGGCCCGGGTGCCTTTCTCACCTCCAGGGGGGCTGGGTCCTGAGGTCTGTCTTCCTCCCGGGGGTAGGGGATCTCCAGCACCGAGTTCATCTCCCCGCTGGCCACGTTCCGGCTCGCCACCCTGCCATCGGGCCACGTCACCTCCACGCTGCTGGCTTCATCCTTCCCTGAGGGACAGAGGGGGAAGAGGTCAGCCGCGGAGGAGGGCGGGAGGGGGGGGTCTCTTTCACTTCCTCACCCACGGAACAAAAGACACGAACTGAGCATTGTTCCGAGTGCTGGGGGAGCAGCGAGCGTGCGGAGTCCAGCGGAACTGCTGTGAGGGTGGTGTCTGTCTGTGCCACCCAGCACAGCGGCCGCTCGTACATGTGGCTGTGGGGCAGGGAAGCAGGGCTGATGTGGAAGGAACTGAACTTTGAATTCGATTTAGTTTCAATTGCGTTACACTGAAGGAGCCACCCCGGCTGGTGGCTACCATATTGGACTGTGGCGCTCTAGAATTTTCAGTGGACAGGCCAGTCAGCAGGAGGCTGTTTTTGGGAGAGGGTAAAGCCTGGTGGTGAACATCTGACGGCAGAGTCCTGGGTTCGAATCCTGGCTGTCCCCCTTCCCTGGGAGGTTGAAAGAATATGGTGGGGGTGGCTATATGGGAGGTTCGGGGGACACATCACAGCTCTTGCTGTGTCATTGGGAGCATGCCACATATTTATCTTTACATTTGTGTTATATTTATGTTTATAGCCTGCTACGGGCAGGGCTCTCTTTGTCACTGGGAATGTCCTGGTTTTCAGGGAGCTTCCACTCTAGTTGGGATAGACAGGCAAACAGACGAACAAATACATAGCGTCAGCGATGGACAGGTTCTCTGGAGAAAATGAAAATGGAAATGGGGTGAAGAGGCACTGGTGTTGGCCAGGGTCAGGGCCATCGGGGATGGGCTCCTGGGGAGAAGGAGCCTGAGCTGAGCTCTAAGTAAGAGCTGAGGCAAATAAGAACCAAAAGGTGGACTCAAGAGCAAGCCCTCTCTGCGAAGCCGAGGTGTGGACGGAAGTGGACAGAGAGGCTCAGAGAATATTCCCGCTGCATCCCTCGCACACGTCCACGGAGCCCTGTGTTGCATCGTTGGCAGAAAACAAGTTGGAGAGATTTGTCAGGTGTTTAGGCATTGTCAGAACCAGCCCCGGCTCCCTGCTGAAGGCGCCGTGGCAAGGTCAGGCTAATGGTGATGGATTGGGGTGGGGAGGAGGGGGAGCTGGGCCTCGCCTGTGGAGAGAAGCTGTTCTAGTTGGTTCCCTGGGGAGGAGGGCGCGCCCGGCGGGGAGGGAGAGCGGGTGCAGCCCTGTGTTATCAGCCAGCCGCACTGACCGGAGGTGGGCGGCTGCTCAGGAGTCCACACACACACACACACATACACACACACCCCACACATACACACTCATGTACATACACACACCTACACACTCAAACACACTCACACACACACACTCAAACACACACACACACACACACACACCACACATACACACTCATGTACATACACACACCTACACACTCAAACACACTCACACACACACACTCAAACACACACACACACACACACACACACCACACATACACACTCATGTACATACACACACCTACACACTCAAACACACACACACACACTCACACACACACACACAAACACACACACACACACACACCACACATACACACTCACGTACATACACATACACACACACTCAAACACACACACACACACACCACACATACACACTCACGTACATACACATACACACACACTCAAACACACACACACACACACCACACATACACACTCACGTACATACACATACACACACACTCAAACACACTCACACACACACACATACACTCAAACACACTCACACACTCACACACACACACACTCTCACTCCCCCAGCGCCACTCGTGGGCAGAATAGAGAATGGCTCACCCACGTGGAGGTGCTCCTTTCCCCTGAATGTCTGCAGACACTGAGGACACAAGTGGGACCTTTGAAATTTATAGCAGCTGTTGGCCACCCTTGTCCACCTGTGGATTTTACAGGGACAGACATGCTGGGCCAGAGAGTAGTTTGTGAAATAAAATTCCAGAAAAGGCGTGGAAGCCAGGCCCGGACTCCGGGGAGGAGTGCTGTGTGGACTCCTGTGCTGAGTGGCTCTGGGGGTGGGGCTGAGGCAGCGTGGGGTGCAGGGAGGCCCGGTCTCCTTGGACCCTCCCAGCCGCCTGCTGCTGTGCCTCCCAAGGGCGAGGGCAGGGTCCAGCGGCCACTCTGGAGGGTTAAGGTGAGTGGCCACTCCTCCGTGGGCAGGTGGGCGGCAGTGCCAGCAGGGGGCGTCCGAGGGAGCAGAGCTCAGTGCAGCCCTTCCTCCCACAGAGACCCTCCCTCGCAGGCCGGCCGCCCTCTGGTTCTGGGGTTCGCTTTATTAGGCTAGAAGACATTTCTCCCCCCCCCAGTGGCCTCACCCCTCATTCTGTAATAACGCCTTTTGGGGAAGGGGGGAGAATCGGGATTGGATGGCAGCTACAGACTTCTTTTGGGTTTGAAGCAGTTTCTGGAAGCTCTGGCATTTGTAGGCTGTGCAGTGTCCTTATGTAAAAAGTAAACATTTTTTTTTCCATAAAAAAAAAAAAAAGGAGACAAAGAGAAGCAACTGTTTGTCACCTAAGCCAACAGAACAGCTCCATGAATACATTCTCCAGCCTGGCTGAAGCACCACAAATAACTCAAACGAGTTGCCGAATATTCATTGAGGATCACAAATTTACATCCTGGGTTTGCCGCCCATATTTCTGAGTTCTGCTTCCTTCCTCCCTCCAGACCCAGGGAGGGGCAGGGTGGGCGTCTGAGATAAGAAAGCCAGGCGAGCACATCTCAGTGGGACTTGCTCCCCGGCCGGTGATTATTTCGCTGATTTGGGTACTCTCGGGGGGCCTCAGTTTTTCCATCTGTAAGGTGGGGGTATGACCTGAGCGCTAGCACTTCTGGGAAGCACAGCTGTCACCATCTCCACCCTCATCACCTCAGACACGAGGGCACCCCGCAGTTCCCAAAGGCCTTTCCCTTGTTGGCAACAACACAAGAAAATGTGTTCACCAGACTCTACCGGGGGACTCTCTGAGAGAGCACATCAGGTGCTCTGGCAGCTCCATGCGGAAGGTACTGGTTTTATAATGTCCATTTCAGAGTGGAGGGAGCTGAGACTCAGAGAGGCGAAGTGAATGGTCCAGCTACTCACCCAGGGAATGTGCGATCCCAAAACCCACACCTGCTATACCCTGTTCTACTGGCCAGCCCACCCCCACATCCGGCTGAGCATCCTCCAGGGTCCGGGATTCAGCAGGAAGCAGACAGACCCTGGCCCTGTCCTGCAGGAGCTGAGCCCTGGGAGGGCAGCGATGATGTTACAGGCGGCTGGGAAAGTGCGGCCACAGCACGGGGACCACTAGGGGAGAGAGGCGGGTGTTCGCAGTCATTTCAGTTGGGTGTGGTGGAAGCGTGGGAGCCTGTGAGGCAGAGAAGGAGGAAGGAGCGCGCCAGGTGGAGGGTGCAGCATGGCAAGGCATGAGGTGTGGCGAGGGCCCATGTGCTTGAGGGTCAGGAGAAGTGCAAACTGGGGGAGCAGAGCGTGTATTGGGTGGGTAGGTGGGTGGGAGAGGAGACGGGGAGGGACTCTGAAGCCTGACAGGGGTGGCCCACTTGCACCCTCTCAGCGACTCTGCAGGGGGCGTTTATCCCCACTCCTCAGATGCAGACACTGAGGCTTGGCCAGAGAAAGCGAGCTGCAGGGCTCCGGGCCTGGGGCCCGGCTGTTAGCCTCTGCCCCAGGCACTGCCGATCTTCATGTGGCCGCACAGCCAGGGTTCCCCCAGCTCCCAGGTGCTGCCCAGGGCGGCCTTTCCCTGGCCTGCGTGCCGGGCCTGTGGGTGTGCGGGCAGATGTGGCCCCATTAACCAGCCACCGCCCTTTGGCAGCTTTGAAAGGACAGAGGCCAGGGAGGCGCAGAGAACTGTGCTTTTCAGAAGAATTACAAGCGAAGCAGATGGCGGGGATACAGTTGGCGGAATATGTTTGCACTTTAATAAAGCAATTTTCATGTGGGACACTGAATTTTCCTTCCCTAAATGAGCACCAGCCGCATGAAGGCAGCTCTGAGTCATGTGCAAATACCTAGCTGAAAGGAAGGCGGTGTGTGTGTGTGTGTAGGGGAGGATGGGGGCGGGAAGTACCGTCCATGCCTGAGGTGGGCTGGCCAAGTAGAGGAGCCCCTAATGGAGGCTGGCAGGGGGGCAAGTAGATGATTGGCACTTGTTTTCATTTTTTGGGTTTTGTTGAGCTGTCTCAGCCCTCTGCTGGCCTGGAAATGAAGACCCAGAGTGTGGGATATGCAGGAGTGGGTGTGCAGAAGCAACCGGGGGCACTGGACAAGGGCCGCGAGTAGAAACACTTATTTATGAGCCTGGCATAGCGGGGAGAGGCCGGGTGGGGTGGAGAGGGGAGGGGGAACAGGCCAGGGGCCCACTGAGCAGGAGTGGCTGGGGCAGAGGTGAACACCTCCAGGAGGGACAGTTTGCAGGATGGAGCTGAGAGCGCTCTGTGCAAGAGTGGGCCCTCTGGGAACCCTCCGGACAGTGAAAGACCCAGCGAGGTGCCTGCATTTTTACGGTGTGATTCCACACAGCGCAGATCCCCTGGATTTGGGAGTCCAGGGGAGGGACTGAGAAGCTGAGTCCTCTAACCAGACACCGCTCAGGGCTGACTGAGCAAGGGCTGCAGCTCCTGCCAGTGCAGAGATGAGCCAGAGAATGTGCTGGGGATGGGAGGAAAGCAGGGAGGGGTGGGGGGTGAGAAAAGGAAGCACCCAGGAGGCTGAGAGGCTCACGTACGCACCCAGGAACATGTCCACATGCTCATCACCCCTGCCTGCAAAGTCAGGAGGAGGCCGGGGTGACCCATGGAGGGAGGAAGGAAGCAGGGGTGAGCAGGCATGCTGTGAGTGCTGGATGGGGAACTTCCTGCAGGCCTCTCCCCCAGAGACTTCTGCCTTCAGCACAGCTTCGAGCCCCACACCCACTGCTCGGTAATGCACACCTTTAAAGGCAGGACTGTCTTGCCTTCCAGCTCTGGACACGCCCCTTCTTACCCAAAACAAACTGCTTAGGATTGAGAAACATCAAACTATCCATCAATAGGGGACTTGCTAGATAAATTATGCATGCTTCCACACAATAAAATACCGAGCAGCGAAAAATTAAAAATAGAGCTGCCATACCATACGATCCAGAAACTCCACTTCTGGGTATTTAACCAAGGAAAACAAAAACACTAACTCGGAAAGGTATATATATGCACCCCTATGTTCACTGCGCATTTTTTACAATAGCCGAGAGATGGGAGCAAACTAGACGTCCATCAACCGCTAATAAATGAAGATGATGTGTCACACACACCATGGAATATTACTCTGCAGCAAAAAGAATGAAGCCTGGCCACCTGTGACAACATGGAGGGGCCTGGAGGGTATTACACTAAGTAAACTAAGTCAGACAGAGAATGACAAATACTGTACCTGGGACCCCCTGCTCATGGCCCTGGGCTCCTTCAAAGCTACCTCCCTCCTGTCCCCCCCACCCTGGGGGGCACAGCAGAGCTTGGCTTTGGCTTTTCCAGTTCCCCAGACCTGCCCCATTCCACCTGCGTTCTGCCTGGCCCTGGTCTCCGACAATCTGACCCCGGCCTCCCTTTCCAGGCTCTGCTCCCGCCAGACCATCCCCTTTCTGTAGACACAATGAGCACCCTCCTTTTCTGGGCCTTTGTTCAAGCCAGCGCTGCCCCCGGAAGGCTCTCCTCAGCCCCCCTATCCACACCTCCTAAACGCCCACCATCCTTCTGGACCCAGTTCTGGGCCCACGTTCTTGGGAAAACTGTCCAGAGCAAAGCGAGTGTCTCCTTTCCGGGTCCTCTCGCAGCCACTGGGCTAGGGTGATGGCACATCCAAGTCTGCTTTGCGCCGAGTCCCTGTGTCCCTCTGCTTCTCTCACCCCCCCACCCCGCCCCCTACCAGCCTGATCACCCCTAACCACTTCTGCCTGCTGGCCTGATCACCCCCAACTGCTCCCTGCTGCTGGCCTGGTTGCCCCACGCAGCCGGCTGTTCTATCATCCCTCACTAACCCCCCTGCTGGCCTGTTTGGTTGTCCATTTTGTTGAGATGGTCACTTAGGCTTTTATATAGATAGATTATAGCACCTCATGAGGTGCTAACACAGGCAAGAAGATGTCTGATTGTTGAACCTAGGTATATTTGACTCAAATGCTTTCTTAACCATTGTGTTTCAGTAAAGACACTCTTGGGTCCCCACCTCCACCCCCAGTGTTTCTCAACATTTTTCCTATGATCGTCCCTCCTCCTCAAGAAGCCTTTCTAGAGTTTTATTTTCCTAATTCCCTTCCTCAACTGTTTTTTTTTTTAATTTTTTTAAAGCTTAAAAAAAAATATATATATATATCTTATTGATTTTTTACAAAGAGGAAGGGAGAGAGATAGAGAGCCAGAAACATCGATGAGAGAGAAACATCGACCAGCTGCCTCTTGCACACCCCCTACCGGGGATGTGCCCGCAACCAATGTACATGCCCTTGGCCGGAATTGAACCTGGGACCTTTCAATCCGCAGACCGACACTCTACCACTGAGCCAAACCGGTTTCGGCTCAACTGTGTTTCTTTAAAAATGTTGTATTTTGAAATAATTATAGAGCCACAGGCAGTTGCAAAGACACTACAGAGAGAGCCTGTGTAACTATCGCACAAGCTCAGCACCAGAAAGGGGATGTTGGCACAGGTGTGTGGGTAGTTCCATGCCATTTTATCGCATGTGCAGATGCATGCAACTGCAACCACAGTCCAGGCCCGTCACCACCAAGACCTCCCGGGGCTACCCCCGTACAGTCCCACCCACCCCTCTCCTTTTTACAATTTCTACCCCCCAAGCAGCCACTGACCTATGTTCCATCTCTACAATTTTGTCATTTCAAGAATGTTATATAAATGGGATCAACAGGATGTGACTTTCTGAGATTGGCCTCCCCGCCCCCACCCACCATAACGCCCTTGAGAGCCATCTAGGTTGTTGTGTGTGTCAATAGTTCATTCCTCTTTGTTGCTGAGTAATAGTCCATAGTGTGGGTAGACCACAGTTTGTTGAACCGTTAACCTATTTCAGGCTGTTTCTAGTTTGGCCCATTACAGATGAAGCTATTATAAATCATCGTGTATAGATTTTTTTTGGTGGACATAAATTTTCACTCATCTGGGAGAAATACCCAGGAGTGCAATTGTTGGATCTGATAGTAATAGTTGTGTGTTTAGGTCTTTGTTTTTAAAAGAACTGGCAACGTGTTTTCCAGCCTAGCTGTGCCATTTTACATTCCCACCGGCCAAGTGTGAGATCCAGTTTCCCGGCGTCCTGGCCCGTGTGTGCTGTTGTCACCGGGGGTGTGGCGAGGCACTTTCGTCACCGAGCCAACTCTCAGGAGGCCCGGGGAACACATAGTCTGGTAGAGGCCCGTGTTGGAAGCACAAGGCAACAGCCTGGACGAATGGAGAATTAAAGACGTTGACCCCCAGGTGAAGAATCTGACAGAGGCGCTGGGGTGAGGACCTCTGTAAGAGGCGGGGCAGCCGAAACTGGTTTGGCTCAGTGGATAGAGCGTCGGCCTGTGGACTGAAAGGTCCCGGGTTTGATTCCCGTCAATGGCATGTATCTTGGTTGCGGGCACATCCCCAGTAGGAGGTGTGCAAGAGGCAGCTGGTCGATGATTCTCTCTCATCGATGTTTCTAACTCTCTATCCCTCTCTCTTCCTCTCTGTAAAAAAATCAATAAAATATATTAAAAGAAAGAAAGAAAGAAAGAAAGAAAGAAAGAAAGAAAGAAAGAAAGAAAGAAAGGAAGGAAGAGGTGGGACACTCCCTTCTGAGCTCACGTTCCCCTCGGAGCAGAGCTGCCTCCCATTGCCGGTGTCCCCACCGCTGTCTCGGCACCGTGGTGCCGGGAAGATGCTCGAGCTGCGCGTCCCGCATCCCTCAGCACCATGCGGGTTGCCGTTTCAGGACCCACGGTCCCGTCAGCCGCGCGCTGGCCTCCCTCTCCCCGGCCCTGACTCACCCAGGCCAAAGTGTGCCACAGGCTCCATCTCGCACAGGTAGCCGGAGCCCCCGTCGATGATCCGCAGGTGGGCCCCGCTCTTCTTGGTGTAGAGCACGACCTTTGCCCCCCTGGCGAAGGCCCCGAACCGGGTCCGGGGGACCACTCGCAGCCAGTTGTTGTTGAAGCCCTGTGGGGAGGCAGGGAGGCAGGCCGGGCGTCAGCGGGGTGGGCGGAGGAGCGGGGACCTAGGGCAGCAGAGGGAGAGAGGGAGGAAGAGGACGAGAAGGAGCAGAGGAAAGAGAGAGCAGGAGGCCGACAGGAAGGTGAGCGAAGCAGACAGGTTGGCGAAAGAGAAACAGTGGGAAAGAGGGGAAAGCCAAGAGCCCCGGGAAAAACTGTGGGAAGTGCCGTGGAAGGCAGCAGGGCAGAGGGCCTGACCGGGAGGCAGCCCTTCCGGGGGTTTGTGATGTTGCTGGGAATTTTTTTGCCTCCTCCACGCCCATTTCCTGTCACAAGTCCCCAGCTCCTCTGCCCTCATCCACCCTAGGCCCAGGGTGCCACCTCAGGCCGGGCTCCCAGGTCCCCACGTCCATGCACACCTGATTCCCGCGGAAGACAGACAGCGGCTGGGCCATGGACTCCCCGTGGGACAAGATGAGGTCCAGCATCCCATCTCCGTCGAAGTCTGTCACCACGCCGCCTGCAACAACACGGATAGCACCGACCGGGCAGGGGATCCCAGGGCCGCCCGAGCAGGGATCCCCTGCTGCCACCCCCGCCCTCCCCTTCCTAACCGCCACCCCGGGCTAGGCATTCACGGAAAAGGGTTCCTGTTCCTGCCCTGGGGCGTCTGCCCGGGCCTGGGGCTCTAGTGATTCAGACCGTGAAGACTTCTTCCTGGCCTCTGTGTTATACATGCCTGTTATATGGGCACAGTTTTCGTCAATCTACTAAGTCTCTGCATACATGTGGTCTCCTTGGGTCCTCACTGCACTCAGAGAGGTGGAAGGGCAGTTATAATTATCTCTGTTTTATGGATGTGGAGCCCAAAACCAGGACCAAGCACCTTTTCCAAGATCACTCTTTCTCTGACACCAGGCTGAGCGTCAAGGCGGGAGGGTTAGACTTCAGAACCCCGGCCTCTCCTTCCTGTCCCCACCTGGCAAGGCATCGCCAGAGAACCCGCTGCCCACAGGTTCTCGGCCCGGCCCCGCCCCCAGCTGCCCTGGGCCTGGGAGAATGGATCACCCCCTCCGCTGCTTCCCGCCTGACATGCTCAGGGGTCCCCCTTCTCCACTCTTGCCCCTGCTCTTGGGTCTTAGCCTTCAGAGTGGCACTGGCTGCCTCAGCCCTCCCTCCCTCACCCTGGACAGTGGGCAGCACTGAGACAGGGGAGTGCAGGCCGAGCCCTTGGGCGCCCTCACCTGTGCCCCGGCCCTCAGGCTCCAAGGCGTCGCCAGGATTGAGCTCCTCAATGAGGGGGTCGCCGTGCTCCCTGCGGATGACGCTGTGGGAGGAGAGACGGGTTGTTCACGGATGAGGAACCGGCCGCTGAGGCACCTGGACCTGGAGACCTGCTTCTCACTCCAGCCTAGCATCTCCCCGGTCCCACTGTGCGCAGGCTGCCCCCTGCATGCCTACGGGGCCACTCTTGGTTCACAGACCCTGTCTACACCCTGCCTGTTCTCTTCCTGGGTTTGAATTCACATTGGTAAAACTGGACTTTTCCTTTTCTTTTCTTTTTTTTTTTAAAATTATTATTTTTTAAAAATATATATTTTATTGATTTTTTTTACAGAGAGGAAGGGAGAGAGAGAGTTAGAAACATCAATGAGAGAGAAACATCGATCAGCTGCTTCCTGCACACCCCCTACTGGGGATGTGCCCGCAACCAAGGTACATGTCCTTGATCGGAATTGAACCTGGGACCTCTCAGTTGGCTCTATCCACTGAGCCAAACCGGTTTCGGCTGGACTTTTCCTTTTCTAATGGACGACTTAGAGACAGCTTGGGGAAGGGCAGTTGATAGATGGAGAAGGGATAGGGACACAGCTACCTTCAAATGACCTTCACGTGGCTCTGGATTTTCAAGTTCCAGATGGTACCCAAGGTTCAAACCCAACTCAAATGTCACCCCCACCCCGCCACCCCAAGTTCTCCCTGGCCGTCCCGCCAGAGGCAATGCCTTTCTGCTCCGCCTTTATCACTCGCCTGGCCTTTATCACGTCCTGCCTTGTGTTAAAGCTTTGTATGAACGTGTCTTATCTCCCCGGTTAGACTGCGAGCTCTCTGTAGGCTGGGGCCATGTATTATTCATCTTTGCATCTCACACGGCATCTAACATCGTGTCTGGCTCTCCGAGTGCTCCCAGCACACGTCTGTGCAGTACACAGATGAATTCCGGAGGCCGAGGGAGGGAGCGGGGCCCTGGGGTCGCAGGGGTTCTGCCTATTCTGACTCTGAACCTCAGTAATATTTGTTCCAGAAAAGTCCTCTGTGGATGTCCTGCTTTCTCCACATCGAGCTGACTGGTGCCGTGAGCTCTCCTCTCTTAAGTTTACTCACTCGCTCGATGCTCCTAGCCTTGGCTCTCTACATGCATGGAACAAACCTGGGGCAACCCGGGGCCTAGGGAGGTTCTTAATCCCCCCTCTCCACACACACACATTGCAGGTGACTGTTGTCCAAATCACAGAGCCACCAGAGGGCTGCGATGTGGCCAGTGCTCTCAGGAGGGGACCAAGTCCCCCGAGCTGAAGCCTGTGGGGTTTGGGTGGCAAAGAGCATTGGCACAACTGCAGGGTGTCACAGGCTTAGCAGATGCCCTGGGTGATGTCCTCTACCCGCACAGGGCAACTGTGCCGACGTCCCTGTGAGCCGTGTGCCTGGTGCCCATGGCTGTGTGCACACCTGCTGGAGGTGTGTGTGCCTCAGCCTGCTGTCACCCACTGTCCCTGTGACTACTTGGTCCTGCAGACGCTGCCACATCTGGGCAGAGACACTTGGTGCAGGCGACCAGGTAGCAAAGGGTTCCTAAGGATAAAACCCAGCAGCTCCCTTGCATTTATGTGTTCGCTGAACAAGTTCTTCTGCAGCAGCTTGTGTGTGCTGGGCAGGGCGCGGGGGCCTGCGGCTACGCTGGGCATCCGGGAGGAAGGAGCCCAGGACCCAGGACGACAGGAAACCTCGTGCAGAAACCTCACGTGGAGTGACGAAGGCCGATTGGGAGAGGGGCCGAGGGGGAGGGCAGTGCTGGGCAAGCTCATCCAGGTTCGGTTAACCAGGGCAGACTTCCTGGGGGAAGGGCTAACAAAGCTGAGACAAGCATCCTGAGTGAGCCCCTGCCATCCGGATGTAGAGGCAGGAGCGAAGTAGAGGGCGTGGGCAGCAGGAGGGCCCAGGGCTGGCACAGCCCAGAACCCAGAGAAGCTGGGGGTGCCGAGTGCTTTGTGGTAAATGGGGAGGGGAGAGTGTGGAGGCCGGAGGGCAAAACTGGTAGGTGTGGGATGTGCCAAAGAGGAGGCCTCTCCAAGGTTTCCAGTGGAAGAGGGGTGTGACCAGATTGGCATTTCCAGCTGTTGGCTCTGCAGGACTAGACTCAGGGAGAAGGCGGGAAGAGGGTACAGGAATCCCCCAGAGAGAGGGGGGGGGGTGGCAGAAGGTGGAGAGAGGAGAACGGATCAGAGGCGCGTTCAGAGGGATAAGGGGTGTGAGCACGTGCATCCCGGTGGGTGCCTGTGGTCCTGCTGTTAGGAACAGGGCCCTGTGCTCTCATCAAGCCTCCATTTTGGGTGCTGCATTCCGTGGTCACTCTATGCGTGGCTGAAGGGAGGACTTGCAGAAGGTGACGCGTTGAGGCTCCAGTGCCTCCTACACGGAGACTGTGTTCCCTTCACGGCAGGGACAGGCCGGGCTAGATTCCCAGTTTCCAGCTGTTCGGGGATCAGATGGGTGCTCAAGACCCAGCCAACGGCCACGGGGGTTTGGGGCGTAGCCATATCCGGGGAAGCAACTTCCATTGTGGCGATGTAGAAGCAAACACATTCATTCACGGGGCAACTGCGCGTCTAAGGACAGCCCCGTGGCCGCGGCCCTTGGGGTTGCCTGGAGGGAGGCTGGGAGGGTGGCCGGGTGGGCAGGCCGGTGGGGAGAGGAGGTGTCCGGTTCTTGGGTCTCCGAGATGAGAGCATCGGGCTCCTTGGTGATCAGGGGCCCAGGCAAGTGACACTTTATTAGCCAGAGAAGGAGAGCAGTGTCTCTGTTAACGAGTAATTGATCTTCCGCAATTAATCTGGAAGTTGTGAATAAGCTTTTTGCAAGGCACCTAATTAGTAAAGCCGGTGCCTCCAGGGGGTGATTGCATCCAGTCAAAGATGGATGCTTTGTTAATACTTATATTTTAAATGCACTTAGTCACAGCTCTCACCTTTTATTAAGAGTTGGGACCCTCCTGGGGGAAGGGATGGGACCGTGGGGAGCCCAGAAGGTGATCGAGCCCATTCCCCCGAATCCGAGCCCCCAAATCCGAGGACCCCGAATCCGAGGCCCCCGGCCTGCCCTTTCCTCCCCACCTGGTCCCGAGCCCCACGAGCGTGTTCTCTACCAGGGGCGGGACCGTCTCAGGCCACATGGGTGCTGAGGCTGGTTCGCCAACAGTGGTTCTCAGACTTTATGCCTGATGCCTATTGCGCATGTTAAAACTAGAGGTTCCACCTGGCTGGTGTGGTTCAGTGGTTGAGCATTGATCTATGAACCAGAAAGTCATAGTTTGATTTGGGTCAGGGCATAATCAGTCACGATTGCAGGCTCGATCCCCTGTGTGGGGCGTGCAGGAGGCAGCCGATTGGTGATTCTCGCTCATCTATCTCTCCCTCCCCCCTCTCTGAAAAAAAAAATTATATATATATATATATATATATATATATATATATATATAGAGAGAGAGAGAGAGAGAGAGAGAGAGAGAGAGAGAGAGAGAGAGAGTTTCCTGGGCCTCATATGCTGAGATTTGGATTCAGGAGATCGAGGTGGGCCCTGGGCGTAAGAACTCTGGGTGATCCGAACCCCTCTTAGACAAGTGTCGCCTCCGGAAACCAGTCCTGCCTGCCCAGGCACATGCCCAGATGCTTGCAGATCTCTTTCCCTCCGTTACTTCATTTACTTGTCTACCGTTAAGCTCATCCAGCATTTCCCAAAGGATGTCTTGCAGAGCACCAATCCCAATAGGAAAATCTTTGAAAAAAATGTCCTGTGATCAAACCTATTTGGAATATCCCACCCACCTTTTGGGAAGTAAACATACGTATGGCCATGGTAAAGGCTCCCAGAAGTCCTGCAGTAAAAAAAAAAAAACCTGCCTGTATTTGCTTGGCTCACACGTACTTAAACAGATGTGACTTTGTAACTGATTTTTGTGTGTTTTTTTCTGGGCCACATCCCTCTGCCCACGATCCCCCCCAACACCAGGAGGCCCACTTGTTACCCTGAATTCACCCTCGATGCCTGCAACCTCTTGCTCAATCTCTGTTCTTCCCTCCTCTCTGTTCCTTCATCAGGTACCATCTTCCACCTCAGCCCTCGGAATGCCCCTTCTGAGCCCTGCACCTCCCTCCTGACCCCCGCCCCCCACTTCCCGCCCCCAGCTGCCAAAGGGGAGCGGGCAGGAGCCTGGCTGGAGCGTCTACCGGAAGAGGCGGTTGGCTGAGGAGCTTCGGTGGGCGAAGTTGTTGAAGAAGATCTCCAGCTCCTGGTCGTTGTCAAAGTCGGCAGCGATGACGGTGCGGACGGGGGAGGGCATGGAGAACTTGGGGGAGGCGATGTCCTGGGGGGAGAGAGGGCTTCGGGTCAGCAGACGGGTACGTGGGAGCATGGCAGTGGGTGAGAGGCCAGCTGTCCCGCTGAGTGGGGGGAGAGAAGGAGGTGCATGCACAAAGGAAAGGTCGCTTGACCTAGCACCTCCTCTCTCGCCTCCCAGGTAGGGGTCCGGGGGGCTGTGTTGAGGACCCCAGAAATCTCAGGCTGCGTGTAGAACAAGGAGGTAAGATGGACAGTTCTAACTCACATCCGTGAAGCACTTGGCTTTTCCTAATTGTTATCACTTGTAGCCTTCTCATCCTCACCTGAGGAAGCACGGGCATTAGCTGTCCCATTGCACAGGTAACAGTCCTGGTGAGCCCATAGTCGTAGCTAGTAAGGAGGGTAAGGTGACCAGATGTCCCGATTTTTAACAATTTGTCCCGTGTCCCGCAGCGTTTTAAAAAAGTCCTGATTTTTGGAAAGATTCTCTTCAAAACATCGGGACTTTTTTTAAAAAAATGCCGAGGGACATGGGACAAATTGTTAAAAATCATGCCCTTTCTAGTACACATCCTTACTCCTCCTCAGCGAGAGGCAGAAGTTGGGAAGATACAGAAAAGGGCTGAGCATCTGAATCCAGACTTCTCCGCTGACGAGCTGTGTGATCCTAAGGCAAGTTACTAAACCCGTCGGATGCCACTTTCCTCATCAGGGAATGGTCACAGTGGCCCGGGTTCGAGGGCTGTGTGTACACGGCTGGCACGGGGTGGGCGGGGATAGAGCTCCGGCAGCCTGTCCTGGCCTTACTCCTGCTCCCGGCCTCATGGAAGGCGGCAGTGGCTGCCTTCGGTTGTGATTTTGCTGCCTCTGATTATGTTATTTCTTGGGCGTCTTTGGATGTTGTTAAAAAGATGTTTGCTTTGGAAGGTTGCGTAGATGCTTGTCCCCGGCTCAGAGGGAGCCCAGGCTTAGGACCCCAAAGCTTGGACAGGGCCCGGAAAAGGTCCCAGGTGTGGGACTTGCCTTTGAAATAGAAGGAGCAGCTGTTTAAATCCCAGGGCCCAGGTGGAGAGGGCTGGGAAGGGCACAGGGGTGTTTCTGGGAGTGCCCCCTGCCCCTCGCCTGGGCCTGCCCCCTGGGCCTCGTACTGCAAGCTCTAAACGTTGGCTGCAGGAGTGAGTGGCCTGGGACTGCTGGTGAGCTGCCTGTTGTGGGGAGGCCAAGGAGGGAGGCTGTCCCCATCAGCTCCATAATGAGGCTGATGAAGAGCCCAGCCAGCTGGCCAGGGAGGGCTGAGCAGCGCCTTAAGGGCTGGGGAACAAAGAGGACTCAGTATCTCCAACTCGTTATTATGCTATTGATCCTGTCAAGATGGAAGCCGGCATGGCCCCCGTGGGGCTGACCCACTGGACGCCTGGGCTTCTAAGATAATGTATGTAAAGTGCTTTGTGCAGTTCCTGGCCCAGGGAAGGCACTTGATAAATGTGGCATCTGTTGTTGTTGTTATTATTATCATCATCATCATTATTGTTATTGCTCCTGTGAGCTCTGGGGAGGAGCCACCAGAGGGTTAGCAGGGTTTGTCACATTGATGCTGGGGCTGGAGGGCTGCCCTGTGCCTTGTAGGCAATTGAGCAGCCTCTCTGGCCTCTGCAGACTAGCTGCCTGCAGCACGCTCTGTCCGCTGGTGACAATCAGGAAGACACTGCTCAGTGTCTTTGCCTGGGGTCAAAACTGCTACTGGTTGCGAGCCTGAGTTAGAACAAAACGCTGACTAAAGGCGGAAATCATCCGCATCCCAGGATCCGTGGCCCCGAGCTCAGGGCACGCCTCCTCCCCACCGGAGAGCTGGCTCTCAAGCCTCCGCAGGAGCGAGCAGCTGGCCCTGAGCACCCCAGGGTGGCTGCCGACGGGTAGGGAGCTGGTGGAAGTCACCCAGACACAGGAGCCCAGAGACTTCCCGGGGATCCTGAGACCTTAGGCTAACGCCGACCTTTCTCACTCCCGTAGGGGTTTTTGGCAACCTTGAGTCCCCAAGGCTTCGGCCATCCTCTGCCCTTCTCCAGAACGCCCGAAACCCCAACTCCTCAGGCTGGTAGCACCTCCATGACTTCAAAGGATCCTTGGCAGCCCCACCTGTTTGACAGCTTGCAGAGGAGGCACAGAGCGGAGGGGTTCGCCCACCCTCTGCCATTTGTCCCGAGGGGGCAGCTGTTGAATCTGTGGCCTCCACTTCCTCCACTCCTACTCCCCACGGCACCCTGGGCCGGAACCTCATTTTGCAGAGCTCAGGCAGATGAGGTTTTCTGCTGCACCCAGAAAAGGAAGTGCCCCTCAGAACCTCCTTTGCTCTGCCCACCGTGGGGGGCTGCTCTCCCTCCTCTGCTACTGGCTCTCTCTGCTCTGGCTACAGCAGCCAGGGCCAGAGGCCATCGCTGTCCCCCAGATGCTGCCTTCCTTGTGGCTCCCCACCCCAACTCCCAGGTGCTGCAGAGCCACTGTCTTCTCAGCCTGGTGGGAGGCACAGGCGGGGCTGCAGCCCCAGGACCTGCAGGGCCACTCAGTGCCTGGGGGGCGGAGAGAGAGGCCCCTTCTTACCCGAAAGCGGACCTTCCCGTGGGCGCTCATCTGCAGGTAGAGGCGGTGGGGGCCGTTCCAGTTGCCGTAGACGATGTCCACTTTGCCGTCGCGGTTGAAGTCCGCCAGAGCCACCCCTCGCCCATGCTGGTGGGGGTCGTCCACACCTGGGAGGAAGAGCAAAGACCCTCAGGGCAGTGCCCCTGTGGTTCCAGAGACGCTGAGCTCGCAGGGGCTCCGTGACGAGCAGCCAGGGAAGTGGCCCTCCGCGGTCCCCGCCCCCACGGGATGGGGGGAGACGCAGCGGCAAGTCTCAGAATTTTCCCACAGGGGTGGGAGGTGGGACAGCCGTCCAGCTGCAAAGGAATCAGAACCTTGTCTTCCAGCACCGTCTGCCCGGCAGGCACGTTATTCTTCCTCAGTTTTGGGGCAGCCTGGAGGAGACGAGGGAACATTCTGGAACACTGAAGCTCTCCCCAGCCACCCCCATACTGCCACTGGGACACATTAGGTGGACCAGCACTCTTTTGCTGACGTCTCTCTCCGTGGCTCCCCAGGACTCTTGGGTCAAGTTCAAATGGCTGCGGGGAGGACTGTCCCTGCCCACTCTTCGCTGGTCTGTGTCTGGTGCAACTCTCCCTCCGACCCCTAAGCACTGGCCGTTCCATGTTCCTTTCGTTCTTAAATGAACCAAGTTCTGTCTAGCTGGTGGGCCTTTGCTCAAGCTGGTCTCTCCTCCTGGGATGCTCTCTTCCTGGCTCTGGAGTCCCTGGCTCCTTGTTTTTCTTCTGCTGTTAGCTACCCTCAGGGGAGCCTTCTCCAGTCACTCCCATGAAAACAGCCCTTCTTGCCGAGACCGGTTTGGCTCAGTGGATAGAGCATCGGTCTGTGGACTGAAAGGTCCCAGGTTGGATTCCGGTCAAGGGCATGTACATTGGTTGCGGGCACATCCCTGGTAGGGGGTGTGCAAGAGGCAGCTGGTCGATGTTTCTCTCTTAGCCACATTTCTAGCTCTCTATCCCTCTCCCTTCCTCTCTGTGGAAAATCAATAAAAAAAGAAAAAAAAGAAAAAGGAAAAGAAAACAGCCCTTCCACCTACTCTGTCATTCTCCCTGCCACTCCCTTCCCCCATTCTTCTCCTGCAGGATGCAGGTCACACGCATAATCCTGACCCTCTGGGGTTGGCTTGCTTGGGGCCAGCTTTCCTCCTAGTCCTCAGAGACCATCTTCTTACTCACCTGTGTTCACCCGGCATCTGTCTCAGCGCCTGTGGCGACTTAGTCCTTTTCAGTAAATACTTACTGAATAAATAAAGAGGCATCAATAATTTACCAGAAGGCAACTGGGGAGGTTGGTGACGGCGGAGGAAATACCGCACCCTGACAGAAACCCACAGCATGCCCCGTGAGGTCTGGGGAGCGGAAGCTGGTGTGTCCAATGTCACTGGCTCATGCTGTCCGTCCTTGAATCTGCCAGGGGCCAACGGGACAGAGCTGATCCTGGGGGAGGAAGTCAGGGTGGCTTTGCCCAGCCGACCTGACTGGGCTCGCCCAAGGCAGACATATCCCTCGGGCCAAGCACGGAGCAGAGGGATGGTGGGTGTGGCTCTAAATACCCCCGCTGACTATTTCGGGGGGTGGGGGGGCAAACTGCTGTTGGTCATCAGGCTGTCAGGACGATATAATAGGGAGTGGGAATCCCGGGCCCTAGGACACAGGGAGCTCTTGCCAGCTGCAAACATAGAGAAATGGAGGGCGGGATCCAGGAGAAGGGGGTGCCACCCACCCAAGGGCCTTGGAGGCTGAGCGCCCTCTGGGGGAGGGGATCTGAAGGATGGGGGTGGGAGGTGCAGGGGAAGAGGCAGGGAGAGCCAAGCTTGAGAAAGAGGGTTTGCCAAGAAATGGGGGTGGCCTCCAGCCTCCGGGATTAATAACCCATTAATTGTCTGCAAAGCTCCCCAGCCCTAGCGTCAGTGGCCTTTTGTGCTGGCCCATTTCTCTCCTACCTACGAGGCACCTTGACAAGGAGCCGGTTCCCTTTCACGGGAATAATCGGTACCGGCTGCACTTCACAGTGGCATCTGTTTGGGTGATGAATGCCCTCTTGACATGTCTTGTTAAACCCCTGCAATCATTCCGACTTTCAATTACAGGGCCTCGCACCTTTCCTCTCTCCTCCCGCCTGTACCTTCTCCCACTCCGACTCGCCGGCTCACCTCTGCTTCCATCCCTTTAACACCTTATCAAACCCTCTAGGTTCTCTCCGCCACCACCTCGCTTTCATCTTATGATTTCCAGCAACGAGAAAATTTGCTGCCAGAGTATACGCCCTAGGAGGGGCGAGCTGATGGGAAAGACAGGCCAGGGGACCTGCCTCCAACGTTAGCTTTGCCTGGAAGGAGAGGGAGAGGCGGGGTGGGGAGCTGACCAGCTACCAGGGTGTGTGTGTGTGTGTGTGTGTGTGTGTGTGTGTGTGTGTGTGTGTGTCAGGGGGAAGGGGGGCGTGTGCGGAGTTGGGACAGTGGTCAAAAAGAGGACTCTGAGCAGAGAGCTGGGGGAGAGGTACTCGTATGGGTTGGCACAGGCGCAGGGATTGGATGGAGCTTGTATCTATGACCTTTGATTATGACCCTAGGTCCCTGCTTACCCCTTCTTCTGGAGGCCAGAGATTGTCCCTAGGCCACCAAGAAGGAGGTGTAGGCAAACCTTTCATTCATGGGCAAGGCAAGAGGGCCTGAGCAGGGAGACATGGTTGGAGGGCAGACTGATTATGTCCATGGACTGTTATTGTGTCCATTCCATCATCCAGCAAAATGTTCTGGGTGACCACTGCAAGCCGGGCATCGTGTCAAGAATGAACAGTACAGAGTCTGGTCCTCGTAGATAGAGCTTATTACAGCACCTGAGTGAGAGGTGCATGCCAGGGCAGTGGGAACAGAGGAGGGAGTGCCAGTCCCTGCCGTGCAGCACAGAGAGGCTTCCTCAAAATAACACGTGAGCCGAGCTCTGAAGATACAGAAGGGAGAGCGGGCACTTCAGGTAGAGAGGACAGCAGGTGCAAAGGCCCCGGGGGAGAAAGGGAAGCAGAACCAACTGGAAGCCTGGAGTCTTATTTTGAGTGGGTTTTATCCTGTTTCTTATTACAGCTGTTTGTTTCTTGGTCTGTTTCCCCAGCTGGAATGGCAGCGCCTCGGTGAGTGTGTAAGATCAGGTGGGGTGTGGCGGTCTTCGCCTCATTCAGGTCAGCATCCCCGGCTCTCAGCACCAGCCTGGCAGTTGGCAGGAACTCAGTAAATGGTTATTGGATTGAACTGAATGCTGAATGCTTAAGGTGAATGTGGGGAGGGGACATGGAGAGAGGGGAACTGATGCTGAGACTCAAGCAAGGCTCAGAGGGACATGGGCCAATTTGAGCTGCTGGAAAATGGAGAGTGATCAGGAGTTCCCGCAGCAAACACCTGCTGTGGCCTCAACCATGGCGGGGGAGGGGGTGCAATTGGAGATGAGAAGCAACGTTCCCCTGTGTGGGGCAGTGGATGACGGTCTCGCTCTCCCTGAGGCCTATTGGGTCATGCTGGAGGGGGTGGGGCAGGCCAGAGACCCTATGGATCCGGGGGACTGAGGACACAGGGCAGCGGCTACACTTACCAGCACTGGCGGCTGCGTCCACGAAGGTGCCATCGCCTCGGTTATGGAAGAGGAAGTTGGGCCCATTCTCGTTATCACAGAAGATATCGGAAGCACTGCTGCTGAGGATGGGGCCCACGCTGACACCCCGGCCCCCTGGAGAGGACACGGACCACAGTGAGTGGCAGGAGCAGAGCCCCAGGTCTGTGTGGAGGGCTGACTGCCGTGAGGCCTGCAAAAAGCTGGGCTTCCCTGAGCCCACATCGGGGCTTGAAGTCCCCCAAACCCATGTGGAGGGGACCGCACGGATATTGAGGCAAGTGAGGAGCAAGACCAAGTCACTCTGCGCTAGAGGAATGAGTCTATGAACAGAGAGATGCTGACTTACCATAACCCCTAAACCCAGCTCTCACCATGTGTGACACCCCACCCACACCCCAAGTCACAGAGATGTGGGGGAGTTCCTGTTCTAAGAATTCACAGGCATTGGCTCCAGCTACAGGTGCACGATGCCAACCTTGCTTTGTTCGACTTTGGGAACAATTGGGAGCAACCTGCATGTCCGTCAACAGCAACTGGCTGTTGGATTATGGTTCACCCAGATGGCAAACCCTTCTGTAGCTCCTAAAAAGACGGCGTAGATCCATATGTACTGACTTGGAGGAGTGCCCTGGACACATTTTTAAGTAAAAAGCATTTCAGCCCAGGCCGGATGGCTCAGTTGGTTAGAGCATTGTTCTGTACACCGAAAGGTTATGGTTCAACCCTCAGGAGGCAATTGATTGATGTTTCTTTCTCATCTCTCTCTCTCTCTCCCTTCCTCTCTAAAAATCAATGGAAACATATCCTTGGGTAAAGATTAAAAGGGAGGGAAAAGAAGCAATTCACCAAGTAAGTGTATTGTGTGATCTTAGTTTTCTTAAAAAACAAAAAAAGTAAAATGCATGATTCTTCTGAACATGTGTGTGCAAACTTATTCTTGAGTGTGGGAAAAGTGGGAAAAACTGCACCCTCAGCCACCTTGGCGACTGGGTGGGATAAAATTTGGGGAAGGAAGAAAAAAATGGTAGTTGGTCTTTTTCGTGAATGTCTTTGTATTGTTTAGCTTGTTCTAACAAGAATTGTTTCTTTAGTTTAAAAGGAAAACATCCAATGAAGTATATTAAAAAAAAGAAAAAAAGAAATCAAGCCAGCCATCATTAGGATCTGAAGTCTCCAAGATCAAATCTGGGCTACCCATGTCAACAAGTCCAATCCTAAGACATCTTGAACAAACCCCTCCAACTGGTGGGGTTCAAATAAAGCCCTGAAAACCACACCCCAAACACAGGACATACCATGCAGGAAACAGCCTGACCAGGACCAGGACATGGACTCTAGCCCCAGCGTGGCTTTTTACAAGACTTCGGGCGATTTGCATCACACTTTTAGCCTGAGTTCCCTCATCTGTAAAATGGGAAGTGTGTGACCTGCTTTTGTTGCTTCTGGGTTTTTTAGGGGATCAAGTGAGTTTTTTTTTGTTTTTTTTAGGGGATCAAGTGGAAGGCCGTTGTGAATCCTACCACCTTGCTACTCAGAGTCAGGCAGGCACTTGGACCCGCCTTGGGGGCATCGCCTGGAGCTTGTTAGAACGCAGATTCCAAAGCGGTCAGGCCTTGCTTTCCAACAGGACCCAGGGTGGTCTCTGCGCACAGTGAGGTCAGAGTGAAGGCTTTTTCAGTGCAGAATAATTACAGGGGAATCAGAAGGACTTGATTTGTTTTGAATAACAGAGCACTCGGGCAGACGCGAGCGATGCTGAGCCAGGCGCTCCCTGCCTGCTGCCTCTGGGTGCAGTAGAAGAAGTTCCCACAAAGGGAGCGTGCCACCTTAGGAGGTAGGTTTCCTCGGTCTCCGGGCTCCTCCTGGTCTCCGGGACATGCCCCTGAAGTTAATCCGTGGGCCTCTCTCATCTGTGCACGTACGTGGAGCCTAACCGCCAGGCCAGTGTTTGGGGACACTGGGGCCTGTGCCTCCCCATTCCACCCAGGTAATCTAATTAGCTCTCACAGAGAGCCCGAGCCTCATAAAAATTAAGCCACTAAGTCCACGGCGCTGCTGGGGAACATCATTCAAGATGCAGCCCGTGCTTTTCATTAGGGGAGCCCCAGAGCGGGGCAGGAAGCATTCAGGCGCCTTTCCTAAAGCCGGCGGGCGGGGTGTGGGGCCCTAGTCAGGGCACCACTGCTGCCCGTTTCCAGGAGCGGCGGAGGGGCTGTCGGCAGCTGTCCCTGCCCCGATCCTGCCAGACTCCTGTCCAGCAGCAGGCCCCATCGGGGCCCCTGGAAATTCCAGGTGGGGCTCGGGGACCTGCCGCCATAACTCCATCCTTCTTCCCCCCCCCCCAGCACTGTCCAATTTCCTCTCCGCCCCTGGCTCCCAAGCTGTGACACATTCTCTTCATTTTCTACAAAGCAGGTTATTTCCCTCTTGGACAAATTTCTAAATCTTTCTAATTAACTAATTGGGTTGGGTTGAAGCCTTCCACCATTTGTAACCTGTAATTACTAGAAAATTGCCATGGTAACCACACTACTAATTAGTGACAATTTATTGCCATGGCAATCGGACCATAACAGAGATGTTACCCACCACTCAGCAAGTTTGCTGCACAGTTGGGAGCAGGTGAGTGGACCGTTGGGGAGCTGGCCTCTTGGGCATTGGCTCCAGCAGCCCCAGGTGGTAAGGAGTAGGGGGGCAATCCGGGCTCTGAGGCAGGGGCAGCCAGATGCCTGCACCCCTCACTGGTGCCGCAGGGGAAACTCTTCTCCCAGGTCGATCATATAAATCTCCTTTAAACCAATAAAACCTATCCATCCTAAGTGCAGCCTGACACCCCCACTCCCGGCCAGGTCAATGCCAAAGGCCCTTACTCAGCAAATATCTTCTTCCTGGACCTTCCCTCCTCCCCAGCCTTCCCCCTCCTCTGCCATGCCTCCCTGTCCCCCTCCCTAAGGCTTAGCACACCCCTTATGGGGCTGCCAGAGGGCAGTTAGAGCATCTTTCTCTGGCCTAGGAGAATGTGTCCCAAGAGTGATGTCTAGTTGACATCATGAATTCTTATCTACTGGAGGCGGGGCGTCCTCCTGGGGACAAGCAGTTCCCTGTTGGGGCTGGAGAGGCAGCACTGCTGGTGGGAAAGACTGAGGGCCAGAAAGTTCGAGCTGTGTGACCTTGGGCACGTCCCTGAGCCTTTCTGAGCATCTCATTTTCTCCCAAGAGAAAGACTGGTGATGATAATAGTCTTTGTCAGGGCTGTCAGAGCTGGTTTTTGGAAGATACCCGGGAAAATGTCAGGTGCCATATAGTCATTAGCTGGGACTATTTCCCACCTGCTGGGTGAATAATATCCCTTCCAAATTCTCTGGGTTCTGCTGTGGGGTGTGAATGCTGCTCCTTGCCCATCCCTTCCTGCAGGCTTCTCCACCCACCAGACAGGGTGAGACCGGTGGAGTCACAGGGGGAAATGTGTCCCCATTGCTCCCTCTCCCTCCTGCCACATTCTGTCACCCCCTTTGATGATTTGCTCATTGGGCTTGAGCTCCATTCACCCTCAAGAACTGCACTCCTCAACCTCTGAACCCCGTAATGGGTGATGCAGACTCAGGTCCAATTGGGGTGCAGGTCATCCACCTCTCAGACCACATCTGGGTCAGCACACAGGGGTTCAGGGTGTAGGGTTGTGGGGTGAGGAAGGGAAAGAGGTTTGGGAGAAGAGGGTGTAAATACACTGCTGAACCACCCCATGCTACGGGACTGAGGCCCCAGGGACTGAGAGGCAGGGCGACTCTCGTGCTGAGGGAAGGCCTGTAGGTTCTTGTCCCATCTCCGTACCCTCTCTGGCCACAGGAGCTTGGACGTGTGCTCTCCAGACCTCGATCCCACTCCCTGGGGAAGGGTGGGGGAATGAGATCCCCAAGGCTCCTTCCACCTCCCTCCTCGGTGCATCCTTTGGGCTGGGCTGCAGGATAAACATGGTTGGGAGTAGAATCCTGGGCCCATCTAAACTGGGCACTATGGGGCTCGGGCGAAGCCGGTCAGGAACTTGGACCTATGAGAGTGGACTGCTGAGACCTTGATGGAAATAGGATGCTGGTGGACACCAACGCCCACAGGCTGCCAAGTACATCACATCCAAGATATTGTGCAAGAGGAGCAAAGATGCTAGAAAACATAGGTGTAGAGGAATGGGTAGTGTGCATGTATGTGTGTTGGAGAAGGGGGGTGAGGGTAAGGACAGAGACTCTCATCTTAAATTTCCTGAAAGTTCTGACAGGTAAATACACTGTGTTAGTGCTGAGTTGTCTTTCTCCGGAGCCTCTGTGAGCTCTCAGATGCTGGGCAGGGCTGAGTGTACGAGTGAACAGGGCATTGGGCAAGGACATTCCCATGCTTCCCCAGTGCTCCCTGCCTATTCCTGCAGGATGCCAAGGGGCAGGTGGGCAGGAGGACAGGCTCCAGCATTTGTGTGCTGGGATTCCCACACCAGGGGCACCAGGTGGCTGGCTACAGTAGGGCTGCTGATCCTCACGGTCCCCTGCCCCCTCCACCCCAGGCAGGGAGGGGGCTGGAAGGAGCTGTTCCAGGAGAGAGGACAGGTTAAGGAGTGGCAGGATTAGCCCCGCTGGCAACCTGTTGTTCAGCCCTGTGTACCAGGCATCGTACACGTTTCATCTCACCTCACCATTTCCAAGGTGAGGAAACCGAGGCCTGGGGAGGCATGAGAGCAGCAGCAGGCAATAGGTCACAGTCCAAACCCATGTCTGCGTGCCCCCAGAGCCTGGGCAATCCCCTCAGTGCTCTCTCCAGCACGTCTACTGAAGTTCCCCCCATCTGAATTTCTGGAGGGACCCAGAGCAGCCAGGTTTGACATTTCTTTAAAGTCTCTTATTTTAGCTAAAGGAAACGTGTACCAAATCACATTTGTATTATATAGCATCTCTGTGTTTGTATGAAAAAAAAAAAAAGTGATGTCCCTTCTTGTCAATCATCTAATGCATCTGATAGCCTGTGGACCTCGGGGCTTTGGGTACTCCTGGCAGGGTTCCCGGACCCTGGCCGAGGGGCCTGTCACTCCGGCCCAGACTCTGGCCCTGGTTGTCAGATCTGGCTGCACTCCCGCTGCAAGGCCAGAGCTCCTCCCCCGCCTCCCCCCCAGCCCCCAGGAAGCGGGGAGGCTCGGCGGCCCCCGCTCTGCTGCCCTGGTCACCACTCCAGAGCCGGCTGGTGGGGATCCGCCAGAAGGCCTCAGCTGGGCTTTAGGCATCTCCGTCTCCTCCAATAATGACTTCCTATAAATCAGATCTGCCCTCGCTTTGTTCTGCACCGCTCCCAGCCAACAGCGAAATTCCCCACCCAACATCATAAATCCGCCTTCATTTTCTTTCCAAATTTCTTCTAAGGCTTCTTTAATCACCACCTTGCAGCCCAGACAGATGCTCCCTTAAAGGGTGGGGCAGAAAGGCAGAGTTCCTGGGGAGGGGTGGGTGTGGGGGGAGGAGGGGAGGCAGGGTCAGGGAGAAGGGAAGAGAGGGATTCTGGTGGAGATAGGGAGGAAGAGGCTCATGTCTGGCCATCTCATTTTCTCACAACGGGGGCTGCAGGGTAGAGTTGGAGGGGCTTGGGCACACATGGAGAATGCCCCCAGGGCAGGGGCTTGACCTGCTTGCTTGGTGCTTCACCCTGTGCCCAGCATGGTGCTCCTTACACCCAGGAGATGCCCAGCAGGGAGCCCTGGCATCACTGTCAGAACTTCCCGGGGAGTAGCGTGTTGCTGTTTGCTACACTTGGTGGGCATGGCCTGTGTGCTAGGCCCGGTGTCTGGCAGGTCCCATGTTTACCTCCTTTTGTTATCACAGCACCCCCATTTTTCAGGGGAGAAAACAGGTCCACAGAGGATAAAATCCTGCCCCCACTGCCGCTTGGAAAGGACATGGTGGAGGCAGGATCTGCCCCAGGTGATCTGGCTCCAGACGTTGTCCTAGCGGCTGTTAGATGTCTAGTTCAGCGAGCTCACCGGGGCTAAGAGACTTGCCCAAAGTCACTGGCCCCAGAGGCAATGCAGACCTCTTGGTCCCCCTCTTCCCCTTCCTTGGATTCCACACCAGACTCTGCGATGGGGGAACTAACTCAGGGTTCCTTGGAGCACTGTCCAGGCTCCAAGAGGCTGTGAGTAGCTGAGGAAGTCAGGGCTTGGGATTCTCAACGAACCAGAAGCCATGGGTATATACTCTTGGCTCTCCCCAATGCCCCTCCAGGGACCCTCGAGTCCCCCAAATCCCCAGAGAGGGCACGCTGGCCGCTAGATGGCACTGTGACCCAGCAGAGCAGCAGCCGCCCGCAGAGTAGACAGTCTGGAGAGGTCTCCCCTCCTCCCCCTCTGGAGAAGCTGGACAGCCAGTGTGGGCAGTGCCATCACCCGGCCTGCTGACCTGGTTGCTGGGCCTCCCCTCTGCTGCCCTGGGCACCCCAGGCTAGGCGGCTGCTTCAGCCACAAAAACCAAGGACCATGTAAAAGTCTGAGTGGCAGTCCCTGGGGTGTGTTTCCCCCAGTCTTGCAGGCTCCAGCAGGATTCTCAAGCTGGAGGTCATCGGAAAGGTCAGCCAGCGAGGGCTAGTTTCTCTACACCCTCCTGTGTGACCTTGGGCAACTCCCTTCTGCCCGTGGATTCTGTTTGCTCTTTTGTAAAATGGGAAGTTCTCTGAGGTCTGCCCAGCAGATGGGCGTGGTGTGGCTTGGCTCCTGGGACCTGCGGCTCCCTGACTGCATGTCTGGCTGGGGCTTGCTACCTTCCCAGCCCGCTCAGGGCCCTGCACCGACTGCCTGCTTCCTCACCCCTTCCCAGCCCCATGGCACTGGCCATGTGCCAGAGTCTCAGCAATCAGGCTGGGCTGCGGTGGTGGTCCTTACTGGGGTCCATTCCTGGGACTCCGGGGGTGGTGTGTGTGTGCTCAGGGCTAGTATTCTAGCCAGATGTCCACGAGTTGTTAATGGAATGACCACAGGGGCTGCAGGGTAGAGTTGCTGGGGGCTTGGCAGACAGGGCAAGGGTGGGCTGCAGAAGGCGGGCAGACATCACAGTAACGTGGTGGGCCAAATGCGTTCTTGCCAGCCAAATGGCTTTTGGAGGTCTGCGAAGCTGCTCTAACGTGTCCTCTGGGCATGCCAGCTGCCCCGGCCTGCCTGTGTGCTCCACAGAAGCTGCCATCCCTTCCTCGAGTCGCCTGGTCCTTCCAGCACAGCCCAGCACCTTTGGCTGGTGCTCCCATCCCCATCCGTGCTCCTCAGCTGTCTCTTCTTGGTCCCCTCCTCCCCCTCCTCGGTTCTGCCAGCCCAGCCAGCGTGAACAATGTCCCCTTCCTGCTCAAACCCAGCGGCCACCTCCTGAATCCTTCCCTTCAGTGCAGAACGCTCTCTTCCAGACCTTGCCTCCCTCCCATCTCATCGTTTTCAAGTGCTACATCTCCCCGGCCCGCCCTCCTCCTCCTGCAGATCAAGGCACTTAATTGCCAAGCCAGCCCAGTGCGCAGGACTGGGACCTATTCGGGGAAAACAGATTGTACAAATCTAGGCTGAAGCTCCTGCGTGTTTATCCCTTTCCCCGGGAAAACATAGTTTATTACCGACACGCAGCCTCTCCTCTGCACATGCACGTGTGGAGCTCTGGAGGGCTCTGACGGGCTTGAGCTGTGCAGACTGGTTTATTGTCTAGTCATATGTTCCCACAAACTTTGTCAGACAGGCTGCCATTCATCTCCCCCTTTCACCCAGGTGGAAAGCTGGCGAGAGGAAGGCATCATAAACTCAGGGGAGGCCGTGACAACCCTTTCTGGGTAGGGGTTTGGGATGGTGCCACCACACCGGTGTCTGGAAGCAGGGGGTGGGGGTGGGGCAGCCCAAATGACCCCTCCAGGGTCTTCCCAGGCCCAGGATTCGGACTCAGGCAGGCTGCCACCGTGGATGTCTGTGCTGCAGACCGGGATGGCTATATTGGGAAGGTCGACCAATGAGAGAATGTCTCCGTCCAGAGGGCGGATGCGGTGTGAGTGAGGCAAGGAGTTCACGTGAGAAGTTGTTGTGCACAGCCCTGGCTTCCTGATTTCTGGCACCCAACACAGGAAACCAGATCGCTCTGCCATCAGCGTCTACTGGCAGATTGTCAGAGTTTAGTCAGCAGCCGTGCTGGAATTAGAAAAACAGCCTTCCCTAGAAAGATCTCCCTGTCAGAGACTCTGACAATAGGTCCCCCATCCAGAAAGATGGGGGTTGGGAGGGGGGAGGGGGAGCAGGCGGGAAGGGCTTGCCTTCCAGAAAAGCGCTGGAGAGCTTTTGGAACAAGAACACAATTCTCTGAGCCCAGTTATCCGAGAAGGGACCCAGCTGAAGCTCAGGGATTTAGCTAGCCCTCGATTCCTGGCTGCTTACGTGTGAGTAAATAATTTCATCTGCTGCTTGGCAATAAAGAATGCTTTAAACCCCAGCCTCTGCGACTTGTCCGTTTTCTCCTGCAGAACCCGTGCACCCGTCGTGTGGGTCATGGCGGGGAGTGGGGCAAAGGTTCCAAGGACAGGATGATGTTGTGGCATTCACACCTTATGTCCTCTGTGCCCCACGGCCCCCTGCAGCCCTCACCTGCCAGGCATCTATCTCATTAGCCCTCGGAGAGGCACCGCTGGAGGAGCCCTCTGTGGGTGGAGGGATGGCGTCCAGTCTTCATCCTCCCTCCCCAGGGACTCCCACTTATCCTCTCCTGTGGTCTCTGACGACCTAGCCCCTCCCGGGCCCCATCTCCAGCCCCCCCCCCTACCCCCGCTCCAGCTCACAGCCTCCATGTCACTCTGCATACCTGTATACTTGCTGACCCCAGCCTCAGCAGCCACATCTCTGAGCGCCAGAATGCCCCGGGAGAGGTCGCTGGCCTCAGGGTCCATTTCAATGAGGGCGTCAGGGCCCACATTCCCGTAGGCATAGTTGGCGATGTAGATGGAATAGCGTCCGGAGCCCTGAGGAGGAAGGGAAGAGGTGAACAGGCCCATCGGGGCTCATCGAGGTCTTTCCCCCAGAGAGCAGCTCTCCCCCTCCTCCTGCAGGACCACAGCTCCTTTACGGGGTGGGGTTCTTCCCCCCGGGCCTGGTGTGCCATGGTCTTGGAGGCTGTGCCCTGCATAACTCCAGGGTGCTTCTCACGGAGGCCACGAAGGGCATGATGCCCCTGAGTCCCACAAAAATGGACCCTCCTTCTCTTTCTATCCCGTTCCAGAGGAACACATCCCTCCCTCTCCCCACACCACCTTTTTATAGACAATTTTCTAATGTGCCTCCCTCCAGCTGAGCTCTCTCCAGCTGCCAGCCAGGGTAGCTGCTCAATAAATATTTGCTGATTGATTGATCTACCAGTTCCCATTATTCTCAGTCTCTCTCTCCCTCTCATTCACGCTCACTCCAGCCAAGATGACAAGCAAATTCCCGAGACGTCTCCCTCCCCCTGCCCACCCTATACTTCTTCATTCCTCTGTCTCAGTAGCTCGACAGACAGACACGCAGGGGGCCTCCTTCCCTCCTCCGTTCCTTTGTTTTCCCCGCATTATACAGAGAGACACATTACACCGCTCCTGCCTTTATAGCGCTGCCTCAAATGTTTTCCCTTTGCATGCTCCTTGTTGCCGTAGCCATTCGCGTCTGTAGCCTGCACCACTGCTGATGAGCCGGTCTGTTCAGCCCGTCATTCTAATGGTGTTATTTCTTTGCTGGATGCCTCCGCTTCCCCAGGAGACCCACGCGATGGCTAAATCAGTTTTCTAGCTTCCCTCTTCACCCCTCTCAACAGTTCCCTCCAATTAATCAGATGGTGGGTATTTCTTGAGCTCTAACTACGTTCGAGGTGCTCTGCTCTACGCACTTCAAGTCTTCGGTCTTCGGTTACGTATCGTTGGGTTTCAAGGCAAGCCACGCACACAGAGCAATGCCAGGGAAACTGCTGAGATCGAGACAAGAGGGTGCTCTGTCAGCCCCTCTTTTCAACTCTCCTGCCTGCTTCTGCTTCTTACCATTGACCCCATGGGCAGGGCCCCGTGCCAACGAACTGGTCCCTGGCGTTATCTCTTCTCTGGGACCGCTTTCTTCGGGAAAGCTGATGGAGAGACACTTGGTGGGCGAGGCCAACAAAGGCGCTCAGGGTGCCCTGGGGGATGCTGACGCATCAAGCATCAATTATATGTACATTTTATTTATATATAAACGTAGAAATACCTGGTGTTGCCTACTTGCTGACCCCAGCCTCAGCAGCCACATCTCTGGGCGCCAGAATGCCCCAGGAGAGGTCACTGGCTTTGGGGTCCATTTTTCAATGAGGGCATCAGGGCCCATGTCACCGTAGGCATAATCATATTGATACTAGTATGACGGAGAAAGTGTGTACAAGGTTTCCTGGGTACACAGAAGCGAGGATCCTACCCCAGAGGAAGGGCACCTCGTCGTTGGAAATTCAGAAAAGGTTTTCTAAGAGGAGGAGCATCAAGCCAGGTGAAGTGGAGGGGAAAGGGCCTTCCAGGCAGAGACAAGGTAGGGAAACCACGGCAGCTGGTTGAGTGGTGCTGGAAGGTAAAATGGAGGAGGTAGCGATGCTTGTTCCCTAGGGATGTGGACACCCTCTCGTTTTTGGTTTTCTGAGTCTCTCTCCTGCTCCCTGGGAATCGATGCTTTCCAAGCCTCTTTGTTCAAAGGGGTCCCTGGAACTGCAGCATGGGTGTCATCTGAGATCACAACAACGCTAGAGCTCTCAGGTCCCACCCAGACCTGCTGAAGTGAGACCCCAGGTGCACACGGAGATTGGAAATGCATGGCTTTACAACATGGCTTCATGGTGAGGGGAGAACTGGGAGTGGTGGTTTTTGCCCCTCACAAGAGCTTGGCATCCGTGGGTGGAATGATTGGGTAAACAGTGAATGAATGGGGCCAAAGGGGAAAGTCACCATCGCTGTCACGGGCTCCTGACCCTACCAGCTGTTAGCAATTTCATGCAGAAATGTGCAATTAAAGCCTAAATAAATTGAGATGCACTCTGCTAGAAATTAGGGTATTTATAAAATGCACTTATACCTACTTCAATGTATTGGGGTGACTAAGCTGGCAAACATAGGTGCATGACAGCTGCAGGAGATGGAGAAATTCACGCATGAACTTGAACACAGCCATTTTGGGAAGCTGAGATGGAGGTCATTCCAGGAAAAGGAAGATGTTTCTAGAGCTTTGGGTCTAGGACAGTAGGCCTCACCATTGAGCCTGACATGTGGAGGGCTTGTTAAAATGTGGATGTAGGGCTCCGAGAACTTGGGTTTCTAACAGGTTCCCAGGTGAAGCTGATGCTATTGGTCCAGGAACCGCACTTTGAGATCCAGCACTGCTGGTCCAGGGCTATGAGCCTGGGTCCTAGTCCAAGCTCTCCCCCCTCACTGGCTCCTGGTCCTGGGGCAGATTCCTCACCCCCTTCCACTGCATTCCCTCACACGTTAAGTGGGGATCATATTCTCCCCACTTCCTGGCAGGGCTGTTGAGAAGATGAAATGAGACAATGTGTGTGAGAGGTCTCTGGAAGATAAAAATGCTATATAAACATGAGGCATAATCATTATCGACCAGGGAATGCTTCTTGTAAGAGATTGGCTTTGAGTTGGATCCAGAAAGGCAGGTGAGTGACGAGGCAGCTGAAGATGAAGGGCAGGCAGTGTTCCAGGTTTGGGGCTGAGAACAAGTGAGGGCTGTGAGGGCAGAGGGAGGGGACGGCAGAGGAGAGGGTTGAGGCTTGTATCCGGTGAGTTGGCCCTCAAACTTGAGCCTGCATCATCTTCACCTGTGGAGCTAGCTGAAACCCAGATGGCTGGGCCCTACCCCAGGATTTCTGATGTTGGAGGGTAGACTGGGCTGGGGCCTGAGAACCTTCATTTGTAACAACGCTGATTCCACTGGCTGGGGACCACACTTTGAAAAACCCTGACCAGGTAGACTAAATGGCTCCAGATAGGAGCTGAGGAAGGCGCAGGGTGAACACCATCATAGGACTCATGGTTAGAAATGTGTGCCTGATACTGGTTCACTCCGAGGCAGGGCAGCTGAGGAGTGAAAGGGTACCTGATTCCCTTTCAGGCAGGCAGGATCAATTCTTGGCTTTGCCAGCCGCTCTCTATGGGACCAAGGTCAAGTTGCTTAATGGTATCCAGGGTTAGTTTCCATGCCTGTAAAATGGGGATACTGAGGGTTTCTACCTCATAGGCTTATTATAAGGATTTAATAAGATGATACTAATAAGCCACTCAGCCCAGGGCTGGGCATGTTGTTAGTTTAATAAACAACAGCTATTATTGCTATGATTGCCCTCGCATTTTCCTACACCACGCTGCATTCCTGGCTCTCAACCTCCAGGCTGGCGTTGACCTCTCCCTCTCCCCGCTTCCAGTTCCCAGGCCCCAGGGACTGCGCGGTGGTGGTGGCAGACTCGGAAAGCAGCCCCTCTACTGGCGGCAGATGGGCTGAGGCCTGGGCTGAGCAGGGACTGAGTGAGCAGCTAAGTGCCCGCCTATTGTGCTGGTGCCAATGCCTTTTTTTTTTTTTTTTTTTGCATTTCACATGGTGCCTTTGTCCTGCGGTTAAACGTGTGGGGTGTGCAGATGACCTTGTTAGGACAGAGAGTGCATTTCTTTGTGATTAACCTTCAGGCCCTCCCACCAGCTCTGAGAAGGCTCCCACCTTAGCAGAATGTGGAAAACCTTGTTCCAGAAAGACGGAGACGGAAGCCAGCAGGAGGCGGAGTACAGGTCCCCAGCAGCAGCAGCAGCCGGCCTGGCACCTCTTAGACCCTCCCCACTCTCTGGGGCCCGCTCCCAGAGCTGCCCCCCCTTCCTGCCCTCCCGCCAGGCAGGAGTCCAGGTGGCACAGATTCAGGTCAGGGCTAAATGTGGCTTCACAGCCCAGCTTGGCTCCTCTTCTCAGCACCAGCTTGTTAAGAAATAAATATTTATACCTGGCACCTGCCTTCTCCCAGGTCCTGGAGCCCCTGCTGGGAAGGTTCACGCTGAATCCCCAATCCCCTCTGTGCCATCTCATTCCTGAAGCGAGCCAGCCCCCTCGCCCCTGCCCAGCCCCTGCCCGCTCCGTGGAAGCTGGGCAGCAGCTGGGTCCCTGATTTAGTGACGACTGTTTTGTCAAGTCAAGGAGGGGGTGGCAGGGGCACAGGTGACAGGAGGGATAAATCACCTCCACAGGACGCCTCCAGCTCTGGCCGGGGGCTGCTGGGATGCATGCCCGGTGGGGGTGGTCTCCCAGGGCAGATGGCTGCAGCTGCTCCTCCTTCTCCCCACTGGGCCTTTCTCCCCTGTCCTTCCTGTAGGGTGGACCCGCAGGGCAGGAAAGTATTGACAGAGCTATTGATTCACGGAGGTACTTGTGCACCCTCCCACTCACTCACCCGTGAGCCTCTTTGTCATGCTTTCATGTGTTGGATAACTATTTACTGGGGGCCCTATAGCTCAACACTTGGCACATAGTAGGCACTTCAAATGTTAGTTGAAAGAATGAATAAGCGCGAGGTTTAGAGCTAGGAGATTCCAATTCAGGTCCTGGCTACACCACCAATCCAATCTGGGTCAGCCGCTGCCTTAAGCTGGGCCTTGGCGACACTGTCCAGCGATGACAGCACCTGGCCAGTTGCCTCACTGGCTGCTGGGAGGACCTCAAGGGAGAAAGGCTGTGAAAGTGCACTGTCACTCATCCTGCAAGTCTCAGTTGTTACTCCATAGCACCTACTACGTGCAAGACACTGGGGCGCCGAGATGGTCCAGCCTTTGGCTCTGCTCTTTAGAGCCGCCCTCTGTCTGGGGACGTCTGCCTATTGGCTCCCTTCCAGCTCTCACATTGCTGGGTCTCCCCCAACCCCTGGCCCAGGTCCTCCGTGCACTCACCGTCCTGTCCACACAGGCCACAGAGCGCCCGGCAAAGAGGCTGGCCACGCCACGGGCCACGTTGACCTCGTCGCTCAGGATGTCTTCCCACCTGCTGTTGCGGAACTTGAACAATTTGTCTGTGTAGGTGGCCACCCCTGGAGAGAGAGGGAGGAAAGGGAGGCCGGTGGGCCAGGGCCCAGCTACGTCTCGGAGGACCTGTCACAGGGTTGGGGCCACTAGTGGAGGGGTTGTCTGCTCAAGGTGAACACTCTTGCCATTCTCCCTCAGGCAGGGAAGATGCCTGAGTTTGGGGCACTCGGGTATTTTCAGCTGAGAGCAGAGACTCCGAGGCCTTCGAAAACGGCCAGCCTGGCCCCAGACACTATGGAAGTGATGTGGCTGCTACTGTGTGTCTGAGGTGAGCCTCAACATCGGGATGTCCCTGTCTGCATGTGCTCCTACGTCATCAGCAGAGAGACCCGGGATTGCCACTATTTTAGGACCTAAACCCAATCCAAAATGCCTCTTTCTCCAGGAAACGCCCCTACACTCTCTGCTGGGTTGCAGGGCCTGATTGGGGTCTCAGAAGAAACTGGTGTGTCTCCAAGTTCTGATCAAGGAAAGGCCTGGAAGTTTATCTCTGACAGGTCTGTCCCTCCACCCTCAGGGAACCAGTGGCAGTAGGATCAGCACCCTGCTCCCAGGACTGGTGAGTCCTAGAGGGTAGTGGTCTCCATCTCTTTGGGATCTTGATCCCCTCAAGAGCTGGGTGGAGGCTAAGGCCTCTGAGCACAGGGAGTCTGCACCACACAACATCCATATGTGATGGTAGGAGGTCCGTGGCCTCCTGAAGCTCCTCCTGGGGACATGGTGAGGAACTTCCGGGGTGGGAGCTCAAGTCCTTCTGAGACCATGAAAGCAGAGCTCTCCCCTCAGCCCTCACTCTTGGTTTATTTCTTGCAAATGTGAGGCCCAGAGCATTCCTGTTTGAGGAGGGATCCTATTCTACCCTTAAGGACTTGCCCGGGAAACACAGGAGAGGAGCAGCTGAAGGAATCAGGAAGGTGGACTTGGGGACAGAGCTCCTGGACTTGACTCTCTGGCTGGCCCGGGGGAGAGGCAATGGGCTTAGCATAAAGGGAAGAGTGTGGTGCAGTGGTTAAGACCTCAGGGTCTAGAATGAACCAGTCCAAGGCTCAGTCTCTGTTCCATCCAGATTCTACTTGTAGGTTTTAGTTGTTGACTTTGAGGAAGATGCTTAGCATCTCTGAGCCTCAGTTTTCTTATTGGTATTTGGGGGTAACAAAAAATCCATTCAAGCCCTAGCTGGTTTGGCTCAGTGGATAGAGTGTTGGCTTGCAGATTGATGGGTCCCAGGTTTAATTCTGGTTAAGGGCACATGTGTGCAAGAGGCAGCCAATCAATGATCTCTCTCATCATTGATGTTTCTCTCTCTCCCTCTCCCTCTCTGAAATCGATAAAAATATATTTAAGACAAACTGCATTCAAGTTTACCATAAAGAATAAATGTGACGATGCACATTAAAGGTTTAGCCTAGCACCCCCCAGAGTGGTATATATTAGCCTGAAATAATGATTCCAATTTCATAAATGAGATGTTCTTAAGGTCCTTTAGGGACATAAGGTCTGCACTGCAGGGGTTTGTGAGAATCTGAGTGTGAATGAATGAATGAATGAATGACAATGAGTGTGTGAGAGTAAGCAAGTGAGAGTGGGAGTGAATGTGTGAAGTTAAGGAGACAGTGAGAGTGAGCATGTGTGAAGGGAGTGTGAGTGTGACAATGAGTGGATGTGTGAAAGTGTGAGTATGAGTGTGTGTGGGTGAGGGCAATGTATAAAGGACCCCTCCAGTGGCTCTGCCCAGGAGAGGACAACAGGGTTTGCTCTCTGGGTGGCCTAACACCACAGGAGCCCATGGAGGCTGGTGCATAGGCTGCGGGGTCTGGAGCTGGTCTCAGGGATGCCCTGAGAGGGAAAGGCCCTGTGTGAGCAGAGATTCCCGTGAGGGAAAGGCCCTGTGTGAGCAGAACGGGAAGCAGGTCCAGGAGCCCGGCAGGTGTTTGCTCAGGTGGAGGCTTGGGCTGGGAGCCACGGCGACAAGCTCTGCGCAGAGCTGCTGTGGGTTGGGCAGGATGCTCCTGGGACAACTGCAGAGCTGAGTCCTGACAGAAGCACAGGTGCGGCTCTGACGGGGGAGCCCAGGGGCCTGGGCCGGCTCTTTCTCTCCTCCCAGCCTTGGTTTCCTCTGTGAGAGTCGGGGTGACAGCTGTGCACCCTCCCCACAACGTTGCTATAGGAATTACAGGAGAAATCGCACTGAAGTCTGGCCCCAGGTCCGGCACCCCAAATTGCTCACCGGAAGCTCTGTACCCCCTCATCATAATCCCTGGGAGTCAGAGGCATTTAGAAATTTAGATTTTTTTTCCTTCCTGGTTTAGAAATGTAACAGTGTCACACACCGTTTATTACATAACACGCCCAGCAGGGACCAGGGTGGCACCCCATAATTAAGCGCATTAATATTTTTGCAGTGAAATATATGAATATTCACACCAAGTGGGACAAATAAAGCCGTAAATAGCTCCCGTCAGCTCGGGACAGGTTTTGCTATCAGCTCTCATTTTCCTGCAAACTTACAGAAAGCACTTGAGGTTTTCAGAGCGGTCTGGATTTCAGGACGGCGGACAGGGACTGCGGACCCAGACTGCCATCCTGGCGGCTGCACTGGAGCCAGTGGCAGCCTTGTCATCGCTTCCTGGTGCCTGGGGGGACCTCCCGGGGCCCTGCAGGCTGCCCGCTCTCCAGCCTCCCCCAGCAGCCAGTGACCCTTGCCCTTCTCTGTCAAACCAGGGCCCCTACAGACTCGTCCTTCCAGCTAGGCTAGTCCCCCGAAGCCCTGAGGCTCCGTTTGACCACAGCCTGGGCCAGGTGAGAGAGCAGCTGACAGCAGGCAGCCGGGGGGGGGGGGGGGGGGGGGGCTCCACATGGCTCTGACGGCCACTTTTGTGGGAGAAAGTGCTCAGTGGCTGAGCTCCCGCCTCAGCTGGACGAGAGGAGAAAAAAACGGGCCCAGGGTGGGTTCTAACCCCCTCTGGTTGCCTCATCCCTCCAAAGACAACATTTCCCAAAGTGTGCTTTGTGGAACCCTGTTTTCACGAGGTAGAAAAGACCCAGTGATCACGGGAGTTTGGCGAAGACCACACCTTCCGCCCCCCTCTTGGAGTTCTCACAATGGAGGTGAGTCTATTAGAACTTGGAAAAGTCCTGCCATAAATTACCCGCATCGCTTTATTGAACCCCGTCTTTCCCAAGTGAGCTCGGGCCATGGAACCCCTTTGTGCGGCTCACCTGTCAGCATCCTGTGGAATGAGGGCTGTTCTGAGCAAACTGTGGTCCTAGGGTGTTGCTGTCTGGCCAGAGGGGCAGGGCGGCCAGTGCTGTGAGCCTCTCCCTCCGTTCCAGCCTCCTGGCTTCCGGGCTGACCGGGGACGCCCAGAAGAATAAACTAATTAAGGTAAAATGTGCAGCGGCGATGCGGAGCCTTGTAGATCATAAATGGGAACGGCAAAATCAATGGCGGCCCTTCTGCAGGCAGAGGCCCGAGGCCTGGGCGACGGGAGGGATGGGAGCCCGTGATTTAGGAAGAGCAAACGCTCTGGCAGCTGCAACCTGGGTAATTAGGTGTGTCAGGAAGACAGATAAACAGCGAGCTGTGCGGGTCGATGGCACTGGCCATAAACACCCAGCGCTGGCCCCCCCGGCCCATGTCAGCACCTAATCCTGCCTCTGGCTCCTTGTAGCTGCACCCTGCCCTGGGTCCCTCACGGAGTCGGGATGGGGGTGGGGGGCAGCTGCTCGGGAGAGGAGAGGCTGTAGAAGAGAGGGGTTCTCCTGAGTCCCTGGGGAAGATGCTGAGAGGGCAGGGGCCTGAGAGAAACAGGAAGGGATTCAAAGGCAGGGCAGGAGGCTCTGGAGGTCACAGCCCTTATGAGAGGCACCTCTGGGGACTTCCATCCCCCCCGCCCCTGATTTTGGCATCCTGGCATTAAAGGAGCCCTGAAGGTCTCAGAGTCCAGTGGAACTGCCAGTGGCTATAGGCAGCCAGTTGGGCAGGCCCACTGGGTGAGACTCAGGTGCCCACCAGGCCCTGCTGAGTGCCAGCTGCTGTGAGAGGCCCCAGGGAAGTAGGAGTCTCTGCCCAGGGCCCAGGGCACTTATGGTTCATTTGACAGCACGAGGGACAGACAGGTAGAGGAGATGCCATGGGATCGTAGCAAAACAACTACTACCTAACATTTCTACGCACTGTCTATATGCCAGGTATGCCACATATTAACCCCCAGTCAACCCCAACACAGCCCACAGGTGGGTCCTATTTTCATGCCCATTTTATAGATGATGACCTGAGGCACAAGAGGCAACAGGACTTGCCTAGGATTCCACAGCTAGCAGAACCCCTCAGGGCAGGACAGGACAGCACATTCTGGAGTTTTGGTGAAATCAGGATGGAATAGGGCAGCTCATGAGCCACATGCGGCTCTTTGGCCCCTTGAGTATGGCTCTTCCACAAAATACCACATGCAGGCGCACGTACTCAGTGTGATTGAAACTTCGTGGCCCATGCGTAGAAGTCGGTTTTCGGCTCTCAAAAAGAAATTCCAACCATTGTACTGTTGATATTTGACTCTGTTGACTAATGAGTTTGCTGACCACCTGACTAGGGTACAGTGATCAGCGAGGGCTTTGTAATGGAGGAGTCACCTGAACGGGGATTTGAAGAGTCAGAGTAATAACAGCAATGGCTGGTTTATGGAGCACTTAGTATAGCCAGGCTTTACAGGAAGCATTCCTGTTTTACAACCATCATCTTGGCTACATCCTGTGGCCACCCTGAGAGACAGTGCACTTCATTTTACAGGTGGAAAATGGAGGGGCAGAGAGGTTAATTGGCCAAGGTCACAGAGCTAGTAAATGGCTGAGACAGATTCAAACCCGGGTCTGATCCCAAAGCCTACACTTCTGAGCCTTGCACGTATGGCTTAGCCAGGCAGAGGAGGCAGGCAGGGACCATCGACAATGGCACAGAGGGGCTCCGAGCTTGCCTAGAGAGGAGGGTCTGTGCAGGGGGAGGAGG